GAAAAACGGGCGAGAAATGCTTACGTGCGATCACGAGCGATCCACCGGTCGGTGGTTAGCTGACGTTATCACCAAAAAAAATAGCGATAAAATTGTCCTTATCGCGGCTACGAAAGAGCGATTCAAATAAAAGACCATCGTTGTTCGCGTCTGTTTAATAATTCGGAAGCGAACGTTGCTCCAAAATGATTCGCAAACGTTGAATTTAAGAAAATCGCGGAGTCGAGAATGACATTACGACTGCGACCGAAAGTTCCTATTATTCTAAAAAGAAAAAACGCGACCTCTTTTAAGAGATAAGAGTTCGAGAGACTTCGAAGGACGTTTATTCATTTGAACCGGCCAGGACATATCGATAATCTATGTTTGGAAGACATAAAGACGTTTTCTTCCATGATACTCAAGCGATTGCGAGTTCAGGTGAATAAAAAGTAGACGCGTATTTTAACGACATATACCTTGCAAGTAGGTTTTGTCTATATATTCCTTTATATTTTTAATCTTTATATGTGAAATTTTTATTTAAATTGTAATATATTTATGAAACAATATAATAAATTTATATCAATTTTTATGTTGAATTTTATCCTCTCGTTTCGCAGAGTAAAAACCGCAAAAATACACTGACAACTTCATCCTCTCGATACTTTCTCAAAAGTCCTCCGGGACCTAAAAGAATTGCGATAGGTCATCGCGTTGTCACAAACGTTTCGATGAACGTGCGACTGTGCACGAATCAGCCGAGGAAACCAATTGCACTGCTAAAAATCGAAATGAGTCATCACTCCGTTCGGTTTCGAGCCAGCCAAGACTTTGTTCACCAGAGACATACTCGAACCGCCATCTTCGGCCGAGTAAATCAATGCGAAACATAAGAAATTATCGAGACTCGTTTATACCAGCGATATTTTCAACCTTTCCAAAATACAAGAAAAAAGACACCGGTTTCAAACGACGGTGACGACGATGACGATGACGAGCATGCGAAACGGATACCTTCCGCCAATTTCCAGCTCAACCAATTGGCGCGTCGCCAGTTATCTCATCGACACTATTTTTCCGAGCAACACTACAACCAGGAACAATTTTTGAAAAAAACCAACCTCAGAACACTACACAAGTGGCGAGCGAACGAATGTTTCCGCGTTTCGCGGTTTCAATTATCGAGAACGACGTTTCTTGCGGTGTGCACTTGGCGCTTCCTGACCTTCGGCGAATCGATGATACCGATAGCGGTTCACGCACGACTTGACAATGTATTTTTACGCCTCGTCCGTTTAATGTCACCGACAGATACCGCTAATTAAATCATCGGCCAAAAGGAAAACGCGCGGTCGACTAGTAGCCGGTGGCCTTTAAAGTGACATCATCGCCGAAAGGAATTGTGCGTAAAGTACGAATCGTCAGTCGCTTTTTCGACTCTGATCGATGCGTGTTTTTCTCGCGAGTTTAACTGTGCACAGTAATGATTTACGGATTTTGATCAGAAAAGACTCTACTCGCGTGGAGAAAGGGGGAAATTATTATTTAGAATACATTTCGCATCTGCACAAATAGTACATTGTATATCTTCGTAATGAAACTTCAAAAGTAAAATTATATTCGAGCAAAGTAGTAGTCGAAATTAAATTTCAATTATAATTGAAGATTTAAAGAGGAAGAATAAAACTTGAAGTTCAACCGAGGATAAAACTTGAAATTCCACCGGAATTAGTGGAATTTAATATTCAACGGGAAATCCTTTATTTCTAGTCCTCGATTTACAGAAAGCTATAAAACGTTTTCGACATTCTGTTCGAAGAACACGAATCGACGATTTTTTTCGCGTTATCTATGTAGAATCCGCCGTTAAGAGACGATACAATAGAAACGGGACATTCTTTGTACTCGAATAAATCGTACACGCCGATTGATCGAAAGGGAAAAACAGTTCCTGCGAGCGTGTTTGTACAGCAGTCAGAGAAATTCGACTTTCTGCGGCTGTGATTTAGAATCCGGTGAAAGCAGAATAATCCATAATCATTCGCCGTGTCATATTTCGCGTCGCGGTAAAATGAACGAATCTGACGTGTAAATCTCGCGGTATAAAAATAGCCTGTCTCTTCTCCTCTCTTTTTCTCGCAGGGAAACTTCGTCCATAAATTTCCCCGCAAAAAGCCAGGTTCGCGGAACTCCATCATCGGACGATAACCGGCGGAGAATCCCATGCGGGACGCGGTAAGATCATTCATCGTTTTACAAAAATTCGATTGTAATCGCAACGAATCGAATTTTTCCCATTATACGAGCGGTTCGCGTGTCCCGCAAATTAGGTCCGATAAGTGCGATTCCGCCGTACACGCTTGATGTCACTTTTATTATCGTTAAATATACGATATATACGTTTGACCCCGTGAAGAAGAGAAAGGGAGGGGGAGAGAGAGAGAGAGAGAGAGAGAGAGAGAAAGAGAGAGAGAGAGAGACACATCGAAAAAAATAATATTTTCACTCGATGAGATTTACGTTGATCGACCGGTCGTTTCTTCGTCAAAAACGTCCGTCAATCGTGAGAGACCCAAGTCAACGCCGAGACTTCCCAGTTTGCGAATATTTATATCGTTCGTTTACTTCAAAGATCGCAGTGCCCGTAATCGATCGTCCTCGCACACGGTTATGTATAAACATCCACAATAATTTTACGTAACACACGTCTACGCCGAGAGACATCTCACTTCTCTCGGTCGCGGAATGCGATTCGTCTTTCTTCTAAAAAAAGACAAAATTACGCTACTCTCCTCTCTAATTGAATTTTCTATTTCTAGCTACCTTTCCTCTCTCTACTTAGAGGACTACCGCCGTGAAGACTTTGAGCGACACTCTCGGCGAAAAAAATATCGGTCACCGACGAATGTTGATACGTCTAATCTAATCGTAATATAATCGCGTGTGACAAATGTATCTACGGATACAATGTAAACGTCAATATCTAGCGAAGGTCACACGACACACATCGAAGCTACGTGCTGCGCAATTTTTAAGGAACCCTGGGTATAATTATGGCTTGGCCCTTTTCGATTCAACCACGTCGAACGGTGTGTATGTATGTTGTATGCTTTACGTAAGCGAATTCATACACCACACCGAGTCGAGAGCGGTCGAAGCCGCATTCGCCAATTTTCCACTGACGATTAGTAATCTTAATATTAATTCCGAGTCTCGCTCGTATCGTTAAGGGGGAAATCCGTGTCGTGCACACGGATATCCCCCTTAACGGGGGGGGGAGGGGGCAAAGAGGAACCGCTCTAAAGTAGTGAGCCAAGATTGTACACATGCGATCTCGATCCTAAGCACAAACTATATAACCTCAATTATAAATGCTATAGATATGACGATTAAATACACACTGTCTCTTTCTCTATCTTTTTCTACATTACAAACGGGTCCACGGAGGGTGTCTCACCGTTACCGGAAAACGTTCGATCGACGACGCGTCAGCGTGACGGAACTCATTTATTGGGCTACCCTATATACGCGGCGCAGTGCATGAAAATAGAATAGTTCCCGGCGTCGGCAATCATCCCTTTGTGAGACGTGTCTGATGGAAAATCTTTGTATAAATCCATTTTACTTGTTATAACCTAAAATAAATAATCGATCTGTTGTGTCACTGTCGCACTTGGATTCTTCGCCACGCCGACGCGATCAACAACGACATTCATCGGGGAATTTGCAATTTTTCTTCCTCCTCTTTTCTTTGAAAGAAATCGAGTCGAGAGCGTTACTCTTCTCCGTCACGGTTTTTCTCCGCTTTAATTTACATCGCATCTAAAATTAAAATTCCGCCCCGAGCGAGATGAATCAAAGAGAAGTCACATTTTATCATTCACACTGCCGAAGCTGAATTAACGACGATTCTTCGCGCACGAGGATTGAATGTCGGTAACGACAACGATGATAACGACGACGACGACGACGATGTCATCGTCGTTATTGCGACTCTCTCGCCGAGGAAAGCCACCGAAGCGAATCCGTCGTTTAAATCGTTTCTCCGATGAGACACCCGAGTGTGACGAGGGAAGAGAAAAAGAGAATCGCTGGTCGGACTTATTTCAACCTGTGCCTGTCTGCTCACGTCAGACCTTAAGGTGACTCGTTGGAAAGACGAGCAACGCGATCGAGGCTGAGAAGGAATAAACAAAAACACTATGCGTTAACACTACGCGAGAGTTGAAAAAATCACGCACACACACACACACACACACACACACACGCGCGCGCGCGCGCGCGCACGCCGCGTTGACGTCGCGAAGCACTGAAAAACGTCAAGGGGACTTTTCTTCTTGCAAACAAAATCTGTGAAGACCTTCGGTTGAAAATAAACAACTCGTGAACCAGCATCGTACGCGTCGTTCGTTCGTGATTATCACACGAGCGTCTGGTCGCCAAGTTGTCAAAGACGAGCGTGAAGCGCGTAAAAAAAATTCAGACGCAGAACGACGTAACGCGTCCGATCGAATGTTCGTTCAGGTAAGATCGACTTTAGACCGACACCACCGGTGTGCCCCCACAGGTAAACGTCGCGCGCCTGTACATGTGGCTTTTTCAACGCTGTGTTGGTGCACGCGTCACTTCGCGGCCGACGATGACGAAGACGTTCGCGGTGCTCTGAAAATCCGGCGGAGATGCTCGGTCGGCGGCGAGTCTCTCGGTGCCGCGGTTACTTTCTCCACGGTGAAAAGACGAGCTCCGGCGCGCGGGTGAGCGAGCAGGACGAAGACGAGAGGACGCGCGGTGCGCTCGGCCGCGAGAGCACAGGTTCAAGCATCGGAGAGGTTAATCTCTCTCCGACGCCGGAGAGAACAGCTCAGAGGACGGACATGGAACTCGCGAGCGGTATCGCGAACGTCGCGACAACACGCGCCCGATCACTAGGTGGTAGGTAAGTAGGTAGGTAGGTAGGTAGGTACAGGCGTACACGAGCCGCCGCGATTCTCTTGGTATAACAGTGAAAGAGGACTTACCCCATAAACCAGTCCACGGTATCGCGGAGATACTCGGGTAACCTATCCAGCTTGGATGATTTTCGGATGGATCACCGTCGTGAGGAGGAAAGCTGTGCGCGCGAGAGCCGAGAAAACAAAGTGTAAATCTCCTCTCCTTCCCTTTCTCTTTCCACACGGTACTGGCCAGCACGGTAGTAGTTAGCGGTAATAGTAGCAGCAGCAGCAGCAGCGGCGGCAGCAACAGCAGCAGCAGCAGCAGCGGCGGCAGCGGCGGCGGCGGCAGCAGCAGCGGCGGCGGCAGCGGCGCGCGTTTCGCGATCTCGTGAAATCTAACATGGCGCGGCTCTATTGTCACCTGTTCCCGTCATGCCCCGCTGCCCGTCGAAATACACTGCAGCGGCTGATTCGCGTCCCTGCTCGTCCGCCGCGTGATCGGCTCCGCGCTCGACGACGATCGTCGAGAGCGCTGCTCGTCTGTGCGACACGACACAACGCGACGCGACAATATCGCCAATGACCCCGTGTGGACTCGCGCGCGATTACGAGCAACAATACGCTCTGTTGTGACACCACACACTTCACTCGCGCGCGCGAGAAACAAACGTAGCCGCGATGCGTACAGCTGATCGTCTGACGTCGTTCTGCGGCGCGAGCGCCCCGAGCGTGCGCTCGCCGCAACGTCGCTTCGGCTACCCGCCGAAGAGAGGCGCTACTTATCGCGCACACCGCGCGACGTGCTCTTGCTCACTTACCAGCTGAATGACGAGGGACCCGCGGCAACTTCAAACGACGTTGCGTCGATGAAATATTACGGATTTTTTCTTCCTTCGCGGCTAAACTCCTCGCAGCGTAGAGATGCACTCCGATTTTCGCCCGATAATTAATGCTGAGTAAACTTTATCTCTGACCTGATATCAATTTCTTAATCGTCCATTAGCCAGAAAGAAGCGTGATCGTTCTTCGAGCAATAGCGGAGAATTTACTTTGCGTCTGACGTCAGATACTCAACAGCTCGAGGCAATATCTTTCTCTTCCGAGATGTGTTCCTTTTCTTATGCATGTACGCGCATTTGTCTACGATTATGTCACACACACACACACACACTATAGCTAAAAGCGCATTAACATGAAAAGGAATGCATTTCGAAAAAGTGAGAGATAAATAGGCCACAGCGTTCATCGGCGTATGGTGTTTCCTAACTGCTACACCTCACTACACCTCACGTCACCTAATCATAGTCATCGGCGACGTAGCATGACGTCACACTATGCGCGATGGTCGATTACGCAGGTGGCGAATGGCGGCCGACCATTGGCGAATAGAGCCGAAACATTCCGAACGGCAAGGGTAAGTGTGATAAGCTAGTGATGGACTTGTATGAGGCTACGTGCGATCGCCTTTGACAGCTCGCCGTGTAAATTTCGCGCGTAATCCGCGAGGGGAAAAAACGAAATATGATATTGAGGCTGTGTTGATTGCAGTTAGATCGCGCATAGAAGAATATCGAGAGCTCTGTGTGAAGTGCGTGTGTGCGCGCATCGGTGCTCACGTGTCCAGGATCAGTATCCTGTGTACACGTATACTATAATACACGCAGATTACAATATCCTGTGTCGTCCTTCGGTCGATACCAGCCGTCCGACGTCAGGATAAGAGACTGTGATCAAAGTGTGCTGCCAGGGGAAGAGCACGCGATACAGCACGTTTCTCGATTCCTGTGCGTTACCGTGACTCAAGAGAACAACATCGTTCCTCGCTCCTGTTCTATTTCTCTCTCTCTCACTCTATCCGTCTCATTCTCTCTCATACGCACTTAATATAGCGCATCGTGCATCTCATATACACGCTATAGCGTCGCTCCCCTTCCTGTGCTTTGTACGTGGCCCTCCCGCTCCATCTAACAAGTTTCATATCGCTCTTTCGTTCCCTTTAACGAGGCGCTTTTGTATCGCTCCTCTCTTTTCAACGTATTTCATATAGCACCTCGATCCTACAACCCATTGCTTTGCGTACGTGTGGCACATAGCGAGTGCATTCTCTGTTTTTCTCTTTTCCTTTATCCTCGTCCTTCTCTCTCCCCTTCTCCATCTCTTCCAAAAAAACTGCTGTACCTTCCTCACCTACCTACCAACCTACCTACCTACCTACCTACCTACCTACCTACCTACCTACCTACCTACCTATCTACCTATCTATCTATCTATCTATCTATCTATCTATCTATCTATCTATCTATCTATCTATCTATCTATCTATCTATCTATTTATCTACCGCTGTCTCCGTCTCGTACCGGGACAGTACTCCGTTTCGTGCGGAACGTATAAGCGAGCGCCCTCTCACTCTCACCTCTAGCAGCGGCTGCTCATCGTCTATCTCTTTCCCGACGTCTCGGACGTGTCGGAGAAGAATGGAGGCGATAGCGAAACACGATTTCACGGCGACCGCCGAGGACGAGCTCAGCTTCCGTAGATGTCAGATCCTGAAGGTTGGTAAATTGTAAGGAGCCACCTGATCCTCAGGGAGCTAGCTGAATGACTCGCACACTCGGCCAACGGCGAAGCGCGTTACGTTGCATCGCGTCGCGTCGTGTCGTATCGCGTCGCGTCGCGTCGCGTCGCGTCGTTTCGCGATCACGGGACCTCGGCCGATCCCGAAACTTCTATCGTATTCCATCCACTTATCGCAGTTAGACGCCAAGCAACGAACGATGCACTCACTACTGTTAGAAGCGTACTGTTAACTCGTATCTTATACATAGACGCGTATACACGTTATCGTTGATCGCCGCTTTGCGCTATGACAGAGAGCTAGCTGTTGCATATGACGCGACGTACGAGATGTGTGTTTATGTATTTTATTGCACAAAATTATCGCGAAATAACGCCATAGTCGAGTCCTTTGTTGCTTTCGGTTGTACTTACATTGTTTGTATCTCAAATATGTTTCCTGTATATAAAATGAAATGGACATGAATAGCATTTTCATAGACCTTAGAGCTAGAAAGTAGAAAAAGAATAATCTGGAGATATAATCAGTTTTTCGAGAAATAATAAGTTAAAAATAATATATATGTGCAATTTAATTTTCAATTTGAAATTATATTGAGTATTTATCTTATTTAGATATTTATATATTCATAATTACTTTTAAATAAATGAATGCTTTATAAATATTATTAAGATTGTTAAGTTCAAGTTTAGAAAGAATAAGAATACTATTTATAAAATGTTATTCTTATAAATCTATATGTGTATATTCCTTGTATAATTTCATATTCCCTATATCTACAATATATAATTTTTCAGATCTTGAATATGGAAGATGACATGAATTGGTATAAAGCTGAACTAGATTCCAAAGAAGGGCTTATACCAAGTAATTATATTGAGATGAAGAGTCATGAGTATGTATATATTATATGTTATGTACTAACATACTTGAATAAGAGATATGTCATATTATAATCTTTGATAACACAGATCTTTGATAACACAGAAACACAGATAGAAATGTCTTTTATATATATATATATATAGCTGTTTTCTCTAAATTTTCTTAAATAAAATACACTTATACATGTATATATATATATATATATATTTCTTGTACAAAATCTTTGTTTTATACTTTTTATTGCTTATTATAGTTGGTATTATGGAAGGATAACCAGAGCTGATGCTGAAAGATTGTTGTTGAACAAGCATGAAGGCGCCTTTTTGATCAGAATTAGTGAAACCTCTCCTGGTGATTTTTCCTTATCTGTAAAGTGAGTATTTTATTTGCATGATAGTAAGATTTTCTTTTATTAAAAGCCAGATTTTTATAGTCATCCTCAGCCAAAATCATTAGTAGATAAAGAATTATCAACAATAGAATAGGTCAAAAAACATGTATTGATACATATATAACCATATAACACACATAACGGTACATAAAACACATAACGATACATAAATATATATAAGTAGTCCAAATTAAATTTGCTGATGAATGCATAAATAGTATATGTAGACAATTTTGGTGAATATCTCTGTGGTATCAATATACTATTTTTAGGGTCTTCAAGAAAAGATTATCGCAATAAAATATCATTTATGGAGATTGTGAAGTTTGAAGAAAATTTTAAGAAACAAAATTAACAATATTAATATGTTAATTAGATATAAAATGTCTCATTATATTAATTTATATTTTATAAACAATAGTTGAATATTAAGAAATGGTTGTTAAAGGAATATAAAGTAATTCAATTAAATATTGGTAGATGCTCCGATGGTGTGCAGCATTTTAAAGTATTACGAGACGCACAAGGCAAGTTCTTCCTATGGGTTGTTAAGTTCAACAGCCTCAACGAATTGGTAGAGTATCACCGTTCAGCATCTGTTTCTCGCTCACAGGATGTTAAGCTACGTGATATGGTTCCAGAGGAGGTGAGAATCAATTATAATATATTTTTGCGAGTGTGCTGAAATAATATATTTCATTAGTATATTTTATGTATTTTTTATTGATAAAAATTACTTTTATTGTTTTCAGTGTTTGGTACAAGCATTGTACGATTTCACACCACAAGAAGCCGGTGAGTTAGAATTTCGACGAGGAGACGTCATCACTGTCACAGATCGCTCAGATCAGCACTGGTGGAACGGAGAAATCGGAAATAGACGAGGACTGTTCCCATCTACATATGTGATGCCATATCACTCCTAGGTATACAAAAACTAAATGCATCTGATAATTACTTTATGTATTGAATTATTTCCGCTTTTGCTTGCCCTTCATTTTAACTTTTCTTTATACTCGATCACTCGCATATATTATTCTTTCATTCAATTATTAATATGATGTTGCAGGCCTCAAAGGACAGAGGTAGTTGTTGGGAACAGCGGCCGGCTTATCCCACCACTATCATCTACAAGATCCGAATCGCCGCGGACTTCATAAACAATATTTTACAAACCTCACCCATCGAATGGGCTACCAGAGTGTACTGGTGGTCTCGCCGAAAAGTCTTCTACAAGTAAACAGTGGAGTAAACATGCGAATTGTTCATATTCCAAGACCAAGATCCTCCGATATTAAGAAGGATAAATATCGCGTTTATCTAGACGAGGGAAAGAAAAAAAAGTCTCAACACTGTCATCGACATCACATCGAAACATCCGAGAACGATTAATGAAGATATTAATGACGACATTTTGAGATTTTAAGGACGTCTATGTGATCCGAAGATGTCTGACGATATCTGAAGATCCAAGGATCTCTTAACGTTATCTGCAAGGGTCCAAGGATCTATGAATGTTACGAATGTCTATGGGATCTAAGGATGCCTAAAAGATGCCTAAAGGATCTAAGGATTCAAGCATTTATAGAACTTTAACAATCTATAATGATCCTTTATCTAGATTTATCTAAGATTTTACAGATACCCCCAGGGATCTAAGGGTCTCTCGCGCGATTCTCGAATCGAACCTCGGAGTCGCGTTTGAGAATAACCGAATGTATATTATATTTTATTTTCCTTGTCTCTCTCTCTCTCTCTCTCTCTGTTTTTTTAATCATTCTTTTCGACGAATTCTACTTTTTACTTACTGCGTCAATCACAGAAGTCCTTAGTAGCATATTATTGTGTAATTATTAATATTATCTTTTATGGTTATTATGATTATTAATGCGTTATGTTACATTTTATTAATAACAATATATTATATTAATTATATATAGCTGCTTCGTGCTTTGTTTACTTGCGCCCAACGACGATAACTCCTCTATATAGCGTCGCAGGATAACGTGTTCTAGCAGCGGTTTTATCTCATCGAATAACGAGCGATACCGGTCAGTGTTGTCGCTCATTTATACACGTTGCCGATAGTCGTATTCGAGAGACTTCCTGCTAATGTACGCTTCTAGCTTTATCAACCGACCGCGATAAATGCGGTGACGCGGAAAGTCCTATTTCGATGTAGAGAAAACTCGTCTCACGATCGATATTTCTTGTCGTTTCGCCGGCTTGCTAACGATATTCGACGTTTTTTCCCTATACACATTAGGATCGAAACACTATGATAAATATTAGATTCGGATATCTAATTGTGTAGTAGGATTGAAACTCGAGAGAGGGACTTTCCTCTTTTCTCTTTCTCTCGAGAACGTTTAAGTATCATAATGATCTAAGTATCTACAAATGTAAGGATTGCTTGTACCTTTGAAGTCGAAGGACTTGTTTTGCGACTGTTGCTCATTTAATCACGTTGATAGACTGCAATGGTCTAATCATGCCTTCGATTGAACTTTCTCTCGCGTGCAAATTGAACAGTATTAAAAAAACAAAAAATAAATGGGTAAAAAAGAAGAAAGACTACTTCGCAATGTATAATTTGAAAATGTATTTCACAAACAAATGAAATTACAAAAAGATATGTATATCTCTATGTTATCAATGGAATTATTTTCCGAGACTTAACGAATAATTAACAATTGATGAATCGATCAAATTACTTCGAAAAAAAATTCTGCTACCAACACATCTTTACTTCAAAACATTATATAGCATGATACTTTTGGACCAAGCAATATATAATAATAATGATACTAATAATAATAAAAAATAACAAAATGAATGTTTTCACCCAAGACAGATGATCGCGAGTCGCGATCTTTTATACGATCGCCGTTTCTGTAAACTTAAGTTATATCTTAATCGAACGTGTAAGTACGTGAGTCAAAATACGCGAATAAAATACACCCATGTGGGTGTGTTTCGCTATACAAGTGCATTTATGGTACGAAAATTACTGGAAGTGAAAAATATACAGAATGTGTACCAAAACAAGAATTATTATTTACAAACTGCTGATCACGCAACATTTAATATCCGGTGCCAGATAGTTTCTAATGTAGAAGTAACATTGTAATGCAATCTATAGTGTAGCATAATGGTACAACATTGGTTTTGACGATTATTACTATATAAAACATGCTGGTACAATAAATGACAACAATTTTGAATTAAAATGTCTTTTATTTTTCTCTTTTTTTTTAATGAAACTGTGATCTATTTTTAACATCATTTTTCTTTATTTTCTTATCAACAGACTAGCCTGTAGGATATGTATCTACCAGCAGTTTCTGATGGCCTAATGATTTTTACCACTTGTCCTCTTTTCAGACCAAAGTATCGTGCTACTGGATCACCAGCTTGTATTCGCATAAGTTGGTTCTCTTTCAATTTATATCTTGTTAATAATTCTTCTTTTTCATCTGGGGTTAGCACAATGTGTTCAGGTACCAGTTCATGTTCAGTAATGTTGATTAATAGCTCTGATTCCAGAAATTGTTCTAATATATATTTTGGTGCCATATCAGTCAGCGATTGTTTGGCTGATGGGGTCATGCCTTGCTGGACTACAATAATTGCTCTGTAATGAATCATTAACATTATTTTATAACTTTTTTTATAAACATTGAGAACAAATTAAATGATGTAAATTGTTGATCTATGTTTATATTGATTGAATATCTAAAAATATGTTTTTTCTCATAATATAATTAATAATAATATAAGCATTATGTTGAATCTTTTCTTATGAAGCAATGTTAATATCCTTATGCAAACACGATATATAACACTGTACTGTATTTCATATATATATATATATATATATATGTGTATGTATATATATGTATAATACAATATAAAATAACAATCATTTATTTGACGTAATATAAAGTAATTATGAAAAATATGATAATATAATACTGTTGTATTAAATCAACCTGTGGATTTTTTCTTCCTGCATACGCTGACAATAAGTCTTGATGGTTTTGATACCAATTTTTGGCTCGTCGGGAAAAAAGACAAATAACTGATCTGTGGGATCATCATTGTGTGCCACGAGAACAATAAGCTCACTTCTAGCTGGTCTTTTTTCGCTGGGTTTGTCTCCATAATGTTCTTTAAATTGCTCAATAGTTTGATCCAATTCGTCTTGCGTCACGAGATATCCACGATCGTGACACAATTGCATTATTGTTTTTCGAATGCGCCACAACTTGTATGTCTCGTCTTCGTCATCCATACTTAATAGGTAGATATTTTCAATAACAATCCACGAAACTCGATATTTATCACACCGTTGCACGCAGTGAAATTCAACTCAACTATATCACAATACCGACTCTATTCGAGAAAATAAAAAATAATAGTGTCTCGTAGCGGACACTGAAACTAATAGTGTATTCACCAACGAGACACTAGGGAGTTTTTGCAATACCGTCTCTCAGATACGCAAATATGATAAACGTTGATCGTGAGTGCTATTGGTCGCGTATATTGGCCGTGTTCCAAAATTCACTGCCAGCGCTGAAGAGTTATAGTTTGCGTGACACAAACTATATATTTTCAATACCGGCAGTGAATTTTGGAACACGGCCATTGCGACGTTATTCTGAGCGAACGTTCACGATTTACGTTTACCGTATCTGAGAGACGGTATTGCAAAAACTCCTTATATTATATATTGATTTTTCTATTAATTTCAATTAATTTCGGACGAATATAACAATCCTAAAAGTAAACAAGTATTTATAAATTTTATATTATTCTTCACTGTTATCTTTTCTATCGAAGATAAATTTTTCCTGCAAATTACAAACAAGTAATAAAACCTCATAGAAAGTAGATAAACTCTATTGATATGTAGAAGTGTAAAATATGTCTATTTTACTTTTTCAAGTAGAACAATTCAATGGTAAATCGGACGAAAAATTTTCATTATAAAACAGGCAAAATTCAATAAGCTGCAACTTCAATAAAAATAATGGTAATAAAATGATTTGAAAAATATTTTAAAGTTCAAAGTTTTTAGTCTTCAGATATGTTGCATAATATTAATATCCTTTATAATATTAATATCCTTTTTAATCAAGTTGTATCGACTTGAAACGTCAAATTATAAAGTGTTTTTTGAACCATTTCGCTGTTATTTTTGCTATTATTATTCAATATTGTTATCATTCTATTATCATGAATATTTAGGTCATTATATACATAGTATTTCCACAACACAAATATAACCTAGCTGTTCTGTTTGCGAACCCGCCATGAATATCAGGAAGCCATCAGTTCAGGGTTTGACGGTTGCCTAGGTACCGCAAGCGAACAAATGTGTTTGTCGTAAACAAAACTAGTTTGTCATATAGATACACGTTTCCAACGTCAATCGTTTGACAGCGAATTTCGTACCTGTCTGGTAAGATGACGTCGCTCGATTTGAGGCAACAGAAACTGGAGCAGCAGGTATATAAGCCAAACGTAATAAATCGCGATTTTTACGTGTGAATATGTGAACTCTCGTGAATGTGTAACCTTGCTCTCGTACGGTGCAACGACCTATTTAACTTGAGAAATGTTACATATATTCAACAAAGAAACTCGATGCTTCAAATATCTGAGAAAATTCGGTTATTGATAATATTGTCGCGTATATATTCGAATGATTGAAAGCCTTGAAACTTAAGTTATACTTTAAACACTTGTTGAATAATTAACAAATGCTCTGTCTCTGAGTCATAATAAGCAGTAAATGAGTGGTAATAAGTTTTGTTGTTTGAATTATTTTCTGTTCGTGGTATTTTATTTTCATTGTTAGTTTATTATTAGTAATTTATATGATTTAATTTAATATAAATAAATATTGATTGATTGATTATATATATGTATATTTTTTTATATATGAAATATTTATTGATTGTATTAATAAATTTGTATGGATGTATAATATTTATGGATCTTGTGATCTGATTTATTTATCAATTTACTGTTTTATTGTGTGTTAATTATAGAGGCAGCTAATTGCACAAAAGATGAAGCAAAAAAGACAGACTGGTGCTAGTGGAATGGTTCAGGCATCTAATGTATCTAGTGCACAACTTACAAGCCATTCTACTAGGTGGATGAATCCAAATAAAGAACTTCATGGTATGAATAAAATATTGTATATTGATTGTAACTATTATGAATATGAATGTTATTTGTAATTATGTGATATATATCTACTAAAATATTATTAATATGTTTGCAGCTTATGATGGTCCACTTCAGTATACCATGACACAAGTAAATACAGACATAGGACCTTATACAGAATGCAAAAATAGTGAAGGGACAATTAATGGTAAATATATACATCATGAAAAATTAAAATCTACTTATTTATTAATATATTGATGAAAAAACAAATACAACAAAATCTATTCTTATTTATCTGTTTGCAAAGAATTATAAAAAACCTGCACAATGATAAAAAAATAATTATACTTATATGGACATCTAGACATTTTATTCAATTGTATTCAGGATTAAATATTAATGCTTTTTAGCAGTAGCCAATGAGAGAAGTCTATATGAAAGTTCGCAAAGTGCTGATTGTGCTGATGAGGAATCATCACCTGTAGATTTGCATTCACCTTCAGAAACTCTACCATGTTCCTCGCCGCTTCGAGTAGCACCATCAGAGGGATCCAACACTCTTATTAATAGAGATAATAATTCCTCGGTATGTTATTCATTTATAATGTACAGATATTTTATATATATGTATATATTTCATACAAGAATAACAATTGCTTGATATTTTGCATGTACAGAGTCCAGAATTAGAAGGAAACGTAGAAGGAAATATTGAACAATTTGTATTACAACCAGCCAATAAAAAGATGCATTATAAGTGCCGAATAACGCGCGACAGGAAGGGAATGGACCGTGGTCTTTACCCGACTTACTTCTTGCATCTAGAACGTGATTACGGAAAAAAAGTATGTTTGCATGCATTTGTTTAGTCCTTCAGTCGGCCCTCTATACATTGATATATACATACATTGCAGATCTTCTTATTAGCTGGTCGCAAACGGAAAAAAAGTGCAACGAGCAATTATTTAATATCAACTGATCCGACGGATCTCTCAAGAGGTGGAGAGTCTTATGTTGGTAAACTCCGATCAAATCTATTGGGGACACAATTCGCGGTATATGACAATGGCTATTCGTTGATGAAGGACGACAAGCGCGACGAACGTTACAATCCGCGACAGGAATTGGCCGCGGTGGTGTACGACACGAATGTTCTGGGTTTCAAAGGACCGCGCAAAATGACTGTTATTATACCGGGTATGACACCTGACCAAAAGCGAGTGCAGATATGTCCACGGGAAGAACCGGACACCTTAATTGGTAGTTATAAGTTTATTAAAAAAAAAAGAGTGACAGTACTGTGTCGGTTTATTTAATGGCGATCTATATTAAATAAACCAGGAGGTGATACGTTAATATTAAGAAATTAAGTGCGTAGTGTTGTATAATGAATTTTATCATTTAAGAACGCTGGAAATTGAAACATATGGACAATTTGATAGAGTTACACAACAAAACTCCCGTATGGAATGACGACACGCAGTCTTACGTACTGAACTTTCACGGACGAGTGACTCAAGCATCCGTAAAAAATTTCCAAGTTGTTCACGACAGTGACGGTGAGACGAAACTTGATATAATTTCTATAATTTACACGAAACGTTTAGATAAAATAATTTCTATTAATACATTGTACCTATATTCACACCTAATTATGCGATAATATGTATACATATTTTTTTTAATTTTATATTTATAGTAATACGAATACATTGATACATTGATGTAGGTTTTAATTGATTTCAGTGGATTACGTTGTAATGCAGTTCGGGCGTGTCGCGGAAGACGTTTTCACGATGGATTACAGATTTCCTCTTTGCACTGTTCAAGCATTCGCCATCGCTTTAAGTAGTTTCGACAGTAAATTGGCATGTGAATAACGACGTAGTTCGACACATACGGTTGCACGTAAACCGTCAGTTCTAAGTATACTACTTTCCCACAAGTTACTACATCATTCTAAATCGATTCGATAGCTTTTTAATGGACAATCATTAGATATTACAGTACAAGTGTGAATGACATATAGTGTACCGAACTGTTTTAGAAGAACTCCGTTACGGCAAGCGTGAGAATCATTCTGGATGTGTGTTCACTTTTTCGTATTTCGCGTATGAAGGATCTATTTCTATTCTCGAAATGTATAATGCCGACTGACATGGCGACTTCGACATTGTCCATGATATATTGTTATGAAAGCGTTAAATATGCTTGAAAATATTGGCATGTGTATCTTTTCCAGTATTGCACATTATGTTCTGGTCATTTCTTTTTCATTATTTAAAATTTATCGATCGATTTATTTATGTGTAATTATTAAAATGATTTATTACGCGCGCACCTCATTTCATGGCCAATAAAGCCTGAACTTTTTGGTTGATATAGTTCAAAAACTGCAATGTGGTATATATTTTTGTTGAACATTCGATATGTCTTCATGAATGATAATTCAGGCGTAAAATGTTTGTAAATGATAAGCCATAAGTACTGATATGATTTTACAGTGCCTTCACATGATGTTCACTGCATATTTAAAGAAATCATATCTATGAATCTTTTTGTTACCGTTTATATTTATAAATAGCGAAGCTATTTGCGATACAGAAACAGTATGTAATATAAGTTTTACAAAAGGAAACGATATCATCGTTGATCGATAATGAAAACAATATAAAAAATAAAGCGACATTTAAATGAATTAATATTTGATATTTAAAATTGCAAAATTAAAATATTTAGTACTTGAAATTGCAAAATGTTAACTGATATAAAAATTCACAAGTTTCCTTATACGAGATACATCTCATGTTTATATTTTAATTTTTGATGTATACAATATTTGATGTAACAATTAGCTAAAATTTCCACTGATCATAATGAAATTATATGTAAGAGTTTATACATCATCGATTTTTTATCATTATAATAACGAGGAAATGTGCAATTTTTCGCAATTGCTAAAACATTTTAAAAATATTTAAGCATTTAAGCACAGTACAGCATCAATAAGAATATACATCTTAAATCTTATTCTCTTTGATGACAAATCCATTCAGTATTATATTATGAGGATTGACACTTTTTACTAACAGTGAAAGTATCACTGATCAGTATTATGAAAATGATGCTGATATCATCATGTTATATCAATTATTTAATGTTTCATATTATTTGCACACGTAATAATAATGTATACTCATATTCATTACACATTCATATATATTTATGCATTAAGTATTTATATTATACAAAGTGTTTCATATTTTTAACAGATAGGCTTGTATGAACATCCGAGATAAGGAGAAAAGCACCTTGCATATGTAACATATGTTAATATTATTTATGTATTATTTATGTAATCAACAGTTGTTCTCTTACATTACATCATAAACTTGACGTGACATTTAAAAAGTAATTTAAGATGGCAGCTGAAGTTAATTGAAAATAATTGCTTATCTTATTATCTGCATTATATTATTATATATTACATGTTAAATATCGGTATATAAGGAAACGACCAAAGTATTTTTACCGAATTTTTCACACGATCTTTTGTAAGCACAACATATGACGGTGATTTAAATATATTGTCAGATGATTGGACAACATCCGATGATCCGAATATTGATTATAGTGATAGTTTTTAATATGCAACAACAATGTTTGGCAATTTATTAGAATATAACCGTCGCAATAATATCTTATGTAGATATTTGTATTATATTAGCGGACGCTAATTTCCTAATCTGTATCTGTAATCTCACTGTACTGTTGTATTTATATTACGAATTTTTTCACATTCTATTTCTCGTAATTATTATAAAACATATATAATTTTTACATCATGTGTGTGTGTGTATATGCGTGCGCGCGCGTGTGTATACGTGTATGTATATATGAATTCCACTGGTTCTTTTCAACGAAACATGCATTCATTGTCACTGTTAGGTTCTGTATGTATTATTTGTGCATTCTATATGGTATCATTACTAAAACGTATTTGTATCTCTATTTGTGTAATTAATCACCAAATGTTCGGAGGACAAAGACATTTTATATTCTCAGTATGAAACAATATTATATGTTTATCTAATCGTAATCGAAGAGTAAATCTAGTCTTTTATTATGTACTAATGATATACTTGGTACGTTATTTAGTATGATAAGTTGTTCATTGTCCTCACAGCTAAGTATGGAAAATGAGAAAAAACTACAATAAAGTCCATATGCTTCTCTTAGAGCGATGCATTAGTTCATCTTTTACTATCTTTTATCAAAGAAGTAATAATCTTAGCTATCTCATACGTACATTTAAATAAAAGAATGTTTTTTCTTTCCCTTTAAGTTGTCTCGCTTGTTAAAAACGAATGCATCGCCAATGATTCTGACGGTGTAAAAAAACATGAAGAAATGTGTAATAACATATATTATTTATTATTACAAGATTTATAAAAGAAGGTAACATTAAATATTCCCAGTGTTACGTGGGCAGTAAAACTCGTTAGATTAATGAGCGCGTTTTCTTAATATTTTGTATTTTTTATGTAGAAAAAACCGTTTGTATCTTGATTAATACAATAAAGGCACTTAAGGTCTAGCACTTCTATATTAACATAAATGAGGATTACACGATACGACGATCACTTTTCGGTTTATTATTTACAATGAGCATACAGTAGTATTTCATTCTGGTTCGCGGTTAAAATTAATAGCTTATACAGGTTTACACATCACACGCTTCCCGCTAAAATAAACGTCAACAACATAAGAATGCAGCTAAATATCTTTGCACTTTGATTGTAAGATAGCAACCGTTCGCGATATAGAATCTTACTATATAATTCTCATAATAGAAAAATGTTAGTTTTCTTTCTTATATTAATATCATCTTCGCTATAAATATATAAGATAATAAATTGTAATTGACAATTCTTTTAGAATATTCGAATTAACTTAGAAGTTTGCTTAGCGTTTACTCTCGGTGTGAATAAAGAATAGAAAACGTACGAACATATTGTTATCTGTTTATATAGTGCCGCCACAAGAAGGAGTCTATAACAAATCGAGACACAACTTTCTCTGATTGCATTTTTAATAATTATCAATGTATAAAAGTGAAAATTCTTACTCTTACAAAATGTATATACGTATCTACATGCGGCTGTTACAACATGTAAGATCACAAAATATCTTTTTACGATTTGTGTTCTCTGCTGAAAATATCGAACGTATGTATTTTATTTTCATTAGTTTTCAATGCTCGATTTGTTCACGGGCCGAACAAACGATATACACGACGCAGATCGAACAGAGCCTTACACTACATATATCAAACTTTTGCAATTTATTTGTGAACTTGTAAACGCGATGATATGTCTCAGGTGATTCGGCGAAACATCGTAACAAAGCAGGTCCATCAAGAAGAGAGGATTTATACAGCCAAATAGGACGGAAATGGGAGTTAAATTGAATTTCGCGTATAATGATTGTATCGGTTTACATTCAGTCTTTCGCTATATATACAGGGTGTTTGATAGCTGATCATGCAGACGAAAGTTGGAGATAGATTGGGTGTAGCCGAGAAGAAAAGTCATGTACCATTATGTCAAATTGGCAATAGTTATCGAGTTATTAATTAAAACATGTGAGCCAACGAGCGCGTAGAGAGCGGAGGGCGACCGCAGTAAGCACATAGACATTTGATACAGGCGGAGTCAGCGAGTAACGGTAGGCGAGCGCGCGCGGCGAGGGGCAACGTAAACAACAAGAGGCGAACGCGCGCGACGTGGAGCGAGCGAGCGCGAACGACGAGGAGCGAGTGAGCTATAAGGAAAAACCTATAAAGAAAAAGCTCGCTCGCTCCTCGTCACGCGCGATCGCCTCTTGTCGCTTACGTTGCCCCTCGCCGCGCGCGCTTGCCTACCGTCACTCACTGACTCCGCCTGTATCAAATGTCTACGTGCTTACTGCGGCCGCCCTCCGCTCTCTACGCGCTCGTTGGCTCACATGTTTTAATTAATAACTCGATAACTATTGCCAATTTGACATTATGGTACATGACTTTTCTTCTCGGCTACATCCAATCGATCTCCAACTTTCGTCTGCATGATCAGCTATCAAACACCCTGTATATTTTTTAATCTCCGGCCGATTTGTCATTCGGTATTCTAACAGAAAACACTAAAAACGATTTCTACAACACTATATATCGTTTTTATATACAAATACTTCAAATTTATTGCTGTTGTTTGTACTAACTATCGTGCAACAGACGTCTCTCTTTCGGTTTCTCGTGCAAAATACCGAATACAAATATCAATTCCTACATCTTATAGAAATTACAAACAACATCAATATTGTTTACATCTTGGAAATTTGGTTTTTGGCAACGATAATTTATAACTTAAATAATTTAATTCGCGGGACAGATTGACATTTCTCGTTTTTTTGTTTTTTTTTTTTCGTTTAACTTTACGCTTAACAAACTTCCAGAGTATATTTTACAAGAATGTATAAATAACACAGGGCTCGATACTCTCTCATTGCGTATCAGTAAAGAAATTACGCTTCGAATCGTAAAAAAAATCATAAAAAAAGGATGCATCTACGCATTATACAAGGATGACACGCAATATCTCACGATATTAATTTTTTACAAATGGAATACAAATAAAAGCAAACAACATGCAAACATTATATTAATAGTAATATCCCATCGCGTTTTATCGACTTGGAAGCTCAATAATACTGAATTTTTATTGGTTTTGAGAAGAAACTTCATTGTTATTATGTAATGGAACTAAAAATATATAATCAGCTACTAATCACCGCACTGATAACGACTCAATTAAATATTCGTGCGTAAAAGTCTCTCTCTCTCGCCTTTCTACACGTTTGTACCAAATGGAATCTCACGTGCATCCCTTTCTCAGATCGGCTTGATTAATTTTTGTATTATTCGGTCTGGCAAATCTGAGAGCCGGTATACGCGATGCAGGTCTAGGAATTCCACTTATCACAGCAGATGGCTTGCTACCGGTACCCCAATTAGTTGGCTGTCTTAATCGAGTCTTATTTTCAATTTTAGGCACTGTTTGATTCGAATCCTGTAAGTTAACATATTTATAGAAATCAAACGAGAGTCTGAATACACACACACACACACACACGCACACACACGCGCGCGCGCATACATATATTCACGCACCAACGAGCCAAAACAAGCTTGGCAAACTATTGATTCACGAAACATACACCAGAGAATTTTAATTTTATATTACTCAAATAAGACCACACAAAAATAACTTTTGAACGTACCTCTGTCTTCCCAGCTACTACAATTTCATCCTTGGTCTTCCCAGTGTTACTTTCAGGGTTTCCTTTAAAGACATATTTTATTTATTTATTGACAATCGCTTCTATCGAACAATAAATCACACATTAAATTAATTGCAATTACAATTTCATTCTCACATTATCTTTCCCTACCTACAGGGATCAAATATAAAAGAAAAATACGTTACTGAAATTTATCTAAAATTACATAATTACCGTCGTTATTTAAGGCATGACTAGACCCAGTGGGACTTAGTAACGGAGAGCTGCATTTCATATTCACGTCGGCATTCAACGAATGCGTGTCGGCCTCGCCATATTCTATGCCGTTTTTCAGAATTGGCGATGGCAAATCGGTCTTCGTCTCGACCCAAGTGTTCTCCAGAATTTGTTTATGCGGCTTAGGCGCCGAGTCTTGCTTCAAACCTAAAAGAACGTGAGTCAACGTTGAATTGCGCAACTTGCGAGACTCTCGACGAGAAAACGAGTTGTGTTCAATGCTTACTCTCTTCCTGCATTCGCACTAGTTGATGCAACTGCTCTATATTCATCGTGCGTTTGTTACATGAATTGTGACTGCTGTCGGAGCACGTGCTAAGCCTGTCGTCCAGATCGGGAGCACTGTGGGCGCTCTGTGTGCTCTCTATGCTCTCCGTTGAACCAGTCGCACCCTTCGCCGGAAATTCGCTCACATTCTTCACGTTCACCTCGACGAGTCGTTGCTCGGAGCCACTCTTCAGCTTGCCAAACGGATGCAATTTGCTCGGCAGATTTGATTTTTCTACGTTTTGCATGATATTGGGCTGCGAGCCCTTGATGTATCCAGTACTAAATAGATTTGTACTGCCGGGCAAGCTGATGGTAGTCCTCAATGAGCTTGAGACGAGATTCGGATTGGACTTCTGCAAAAACTGTGGTAACTTCGATAACATTCTAGGCGCGTTTCTTTTCGGCAGCATTTTAGGCAGCGGCTTGCAGAACGTGCTGTCCATATTCGGACGCGCTACTTCAGCGTTCCTCTCGATGGTGTTCTCAGTAGGACTGTTGTTCTTCTCGGCCAAGTTATTATTCTTCTTTGTGAAGGTATAGAACTTACGATTTGTGGTCAAGTCTCTCTGAGGTGCGGTCAAGGTTGTATCACGTTCGCTGTACTGGCCTCTGTATTGATTCTTTATCGTCGTCGTCATCGTTGCCGTCGCCGCCGTCGTTGTTGCTGTCACCGTTAACGCTGATTTTCTGTACGTGTAATATCGATTTTCCGATGGAGAGACGCTCATATTGGTCTTAGCGTCTTCGCGGGCTACGTGAACGTCCTCCTTGATGTCCTTTGAGTCAGACTTATCACTGATAACGTGATTATACGTAACGTCGAGCTTGCGCTCGTCGTTTCGGCGAATCTCCGCCAACAATTCCTTCCTCAACGACGTGGACGCTTTCAGCGTGGAATATAGATTTGCTCGTTGTGCTCCGGGTTGCTCCGACTGTTTCAAAGCGAGTTTCGAATTTGAATTCAATACATACGGATTTATAGGTGTAGATTGGCTGCCGACAGGCATCCTGAAGGACACATCCAAAACGTCCTCTGTGTCTTGTGACTCAAGCATAGCAGATCTAGTTCCGTTGCTTGAAACGTTGCACGTTACATCGAGGTTCGTCTTATTTGCATGCGTTATGGGTTTATATACATCGCTTTTGATCGACGCCGTCATATCTTGCCTCTCAGTCGATTTAGTTGACGATGGATATATAATGTCCAATGCTTTAATATTGTTATTCATCTTCTTTTGCAATTGTACGGAATTACTGTCAATAACAGGCTCGGTTGTGAAGGTGGAAGACAAAGTGGCCGCGTCCGCTTCGTCCTTATGCAGATTTGATAACTGTGTTAATGCTTTATCAGAAGCTATAGCATCGTAAGTTTCATTCAAGCCTATATTCAGTGGAGAGAAATCCTTACAAAAGGTGTCGTTTAGAGCATTTACTTGATACGTTTCGTTTGGTGAAATTGGATTATCACTTTGCATCACAAACGTCATGTTAGCGCTACCAGAAGTTGATTTTTCTTGTATATTGCTGTATCGATGAGCAACTTGTTGACCAGTAGTATCCTTATGTGTGACTGATGTTATATTACATTCAGTAAACGTGGATTCGTTAACGGGACCGATAATAGATGTATATAAAACAGAGGGCTGCGACATGTTCATCAGTGGATCACTGAATTCAGGTTCACCTAAATTTATAAATGAATCAATTCCTTTAGATTGTGACATGTTCAAGAAGGCTTCCATACTCTCTTGTCCTGATTTTGTTAAGTTTTCATCAGACAGTGTATTTATAACTGTTTTGATAGATGGTTTGAGCATCGGTGGTACTGATTCCTTGTCTTCCATTGATATGGATGCAAATTTCTCTACCTACCATAAAAATACAATGATAAAATATTCATATCTATACTTAAAAATATAAATTGTAACATTAATAAATAACTTACATTTTCAATGTGTGTGTTATCTAAATTTTGTGGCTTCCATATGTTTGTGACACAACGTGGCAATCCTTCAAAAATTGATTCAAAACTCATACGTGATGTTCGTTTTTTAGGTCTTGTAAATGTTCTTGTATCAATATATTTTTTGTTACCTAGATATAAATTAGATTTAATATTAATGATAAATAATAAATAGCTTCCAAGATATAGGTGTATAAATAAAATTAGGATCATTTGGCAAGCAATTAAGTACAATATCATCATGTTTTATACTTCGAATATTCAATTCTGGTTCTGTTTTCAGCCAGGTGTATAGATCCTGAATTGTAGATTCCATTGAGCATTGCGGTGGTATGTACAACCTAAAAAAGATAACAACCCATATTAATTCGGTTATTTTTATATGATCATACAATCTTTTCATAAACTTGCACCAATAAATAAAAGTAAAGATATCAATTAGAAATTAATATAAGATAAAGGCATAATTCATACCGGAAAAACTATGTACAAGAAAAAACAAAGCAACATGCAGGAAATACCAATCATCATTATCATCCAGCTCCAAGTGCGACAGGTCGATGCGATCGAACTCGTTGACGAGACATCCATCATGGGTGTATTCTGTGCATGCTATCTCCTTCGGATCCGTCGTGTCCCCTGACATATTTTGCGACGGCGGATATTATTGAATTGAATATATGCGCAGACACATATTTCACTGTTTAAGGAATGCTTATCTCAAACTCGTGCACGAAGAATAACTCCGAAGGAAAGGAGTTTCGTACGCCAAACGCGACCGCACGACAACGATGACGATGACGGTGACGGCGACAAGCTGCACATACGCGCTATATAATTGGCAGAAAAAAAATCAAAGCTGTCAGCCCAATCTCATCACGAACATAACCGCGGTATGTATACGCGAAAGCAGGAACCTCGATATTTTCGGCTAGCTTGCTAATGTCATGGTGTACATATTCAATTCAATTCAATAGATGGCTCTGGGCGTGTGGGTTGCCGCTCCAACGCCACTCTCTGGTTAGTGTTCACCATCATGGTGTACATACTCTCGAAATTAATTATAGACGTCGTACCAGATGATAAATTTAAACTGAATCTGAAAAAAATTCAACATTCTCTCGGGCCGCGACCCTTCTCATTGGAGAATCAACCAACTCTTCAAGTTCTGTCATCGACAACGCAAGAGGTCGCTGAAATTCCAGAGAGATTGCGATCCTTGAAGGAGTTTGGCACTCGCATATCGCTTCTTTTGAACCGTGATCAACCGTCGCTAGAAGTAACCCGTAACTCACGGTCGGTGATGCTGGCCGGAGGGATTTCTCGCGCATGCGCAGCAACGTAAGCGACAGATGAGCCTCAGTAGCGTACGTGTATTATTGGAAACAAGGTACGGTTAGGCTGTCACACACAGAAAGAAGCACAAAACGTCAAAGGAGGATCGTGTGATCTTCGTCGATCGAACAACATAATCCACGGACGAACGCGAGAAAATTTATTGACTTTCGTGTTCGTGGCGACCTTGAACGTGAAAGTACATGTAAGTACGAACGGTGACAAGGCATTCTGAAGAAAAGACACCCCCTGTACAGTGCCCCCTACGTCGCGTTCGTGCACGGGTTTGCCGTCACGTGGACAGCTGCATATAGGGACGGTCGAGTGGTGGGAAAAGTTTCCTCCACCTGGCATCATTGGTACCGGTTGCCGTAGTCCGTTGTTCATTCCTCACTTTGGTTTGTCTCGGTTCGGTGTTCTCCCGTGAGACGTCTACGTGCTACGGAGGTACGTACGAACACGCGGTGGCGAATTGTCACCTCGCTCGTCGCTGACGAATCTCGTTTCTCGTCGCGTCGCATACACGCACATACATACGCATGCACGCGCTCACTTATGCTCGCTCGCTCGCTCGCTCGCTCACTCGCTCGCTCACTCACTCGCTTACTCGCTTAGGCCCAGTTCCACAACTTACTTTAAACGAAGTTTAAAGCTAGACCGATGGTTAAAAGCAATAATATATGCGCATATAATGTTGCTTTTAACCATCGGTTTAGCTTTAAACTCCGTTTAAAGCAAGTTGTGGAACTGGGCCTTACTCGCCATCCACCGCTCACACGTACGCATTTATTCACGCACGTTCACCGGCGTGCTACACTGTTGTTTCATTGTTGTTTCACCCTGCTGGTCCCTTATACTACATCATTGTCCCGCTATTCTTTTTCTCTCGTTTCGCCTTCTACATTGTAGGCGTTTCGCGTTCCCGTCACCATGTGCGCGTTCCTTCATGTCGCCGCGGTCGAGACTCCCCGACTGAATTTTTCGCTTTGATGCCGCGAACGGCACCTGCCCTGAGCAATCGTCTCGTCGGCTGCTCCTCGTGCGCCTTTTCGCTGACGAAGTTTTGCATTATATTTACCGCAGACAGCGCTCTCCTCACCGTCACCCTCGCCCTTGCGATCGCGCCGAAATAACCTTTCGCGAACACGCTGCGTTGCGAAACGTCAGTCCCGCGCACGATCCTACTTCAAGAGGCATTGTCTAGCAAACTCGCGTAAGTCATATACTGCCATAGCTTTCTTCGCGTTCCCCGATGAGACTGTGCGATTCCCTTCGCCGTTTCAGCCTTCATGTAAATTCGAGAACTTTGATCATGTAGTAGCTTCAGCGTGTTCCGTAAGCAACGTTGCTATGCGATACTTCGCGCACTTCCGTCGCGTGTTCGTTTGGAGAGGTCGGCAAAGTTTTGCAATTCGAGGCGATTTACTTCATGTAGCTGTTCACCGTGTTCACATAACATGACGATTTTAAAAGAGAACGAGATTTTATTTTATTTCTTTTTTTTTTCCGTTTCTAGTTGAACTGTACGCTCGCGCAGCATTTAATTGTGTCGCTAAAAATGATACGCAAAAAGTGGTTTTCTTTCAGCATAAATTATATATGTGTGATTGAACTACTTATATCAATGTATCCCTCCTATTCATATTACATTGAAGAAATGAAATATCGAATACATATCTGCTAACTTAATTGCTTGTTCTTTTTCCAATTGCCTTTTTTTAATTTTTTATGTAAACTCAGCAATGTACAGTCTTTTGCAGTTTAGCACCGCTTTAGTGACTAAAATTGGAACAACTGCATATTGTACATATGATATACGTACAGTTCTCAGTCTACGTAAAATTCTATCTAATCTACACAAAATTGTAGTTGAGAAAGATTTCAGTAAGACAAATTCAGGACTTTCAAAGAAAAAAAGCAATTTTTTTAAAGGAATATCTTAAACTTTCATGATTTTTTATTTTTATTATCCTATATAGAGCTTTGATATAGGAATCTATTTGAATTTATAGTAAAATGACAACTGATCCGGAACGCGCTGCCAATGTAAGCGATATGGATTCCGTTGAAGGTGAAGATAGTAACAACGACGTGGGGTTCAAGATGAATTTGTCCGGACGTCCAGTCAGGACGTCCGCAGTTTTACGTAGTACTGACGATCCGGTGTTAGGTGCTCTTCGACATTTGTCTGCACATGGATTGGAATTAGAGGTATTACAATATTTTTTTGTGTCATATAAAAATACGACAAATTACGATTTCTTACATTTATATACATCATATATAATTTCCAAAATGTGCATTATGCAACAATATTGCAAATATCTTTCTCTAATCGCATGCTTCTTAATGCTTGTTCATTCCTATTTTATATCTTACTTAGCTAATAAGTTACAGCAAAATGTTGTTTAATGAGTTTTTATTTTTGCCACGTTTCCTTTTTCTTTTTTATATTTTCAAATTTTCCATTCAATTTTTTATTTAATTGTGGACATTGTTGAATTAAATCTAATCAAATGATTATTTTGTTATTAACACACATTTCATTATTATTATTAACACACATAGAATAATTAGAAAAAATTGTCTTGTATTTTTTGCTTTGATAATTGACCAATCATTGTTTTAACTGAAGAGTGAAACATATCAAAATAATCGTTTTCATAAATTGGATATCTCTCATAGTAAGACACAACATAAAATATCAAATAATTATAGAGTATTTCAAATTATTATAGGATATTTAGTTATATTTATGTTTATTTGATTCAATGATTGTATAGACATGAGTTTAAACTTTTTCAATTAAATTTTTAGCAAATGCAGTCTCTCCCTGCTGTCGTTAAACGTAGAATCAAAGCACTGAAACAATTACAACTTGTCACTACTAATATCGAGGCCAAATTCTATGAGGAAGTTCATAGTCTAGAGTGCGAATACTATAAAATGTGCGCACCCTTATATGAGAAACGAAGTGAGATAATATCTGGTATTTATGAACCAACGGATGAACAATGTGCTTGGGAGAGCGATGAAGAAGAGGAAGGTCTGAGCAACGACTTGAAAACCAAGGCAAAGATCGAGGATAATCAAGAGAAGAAGGATGAGTATGTTCTTAAAATAAATAATATATTAATTTTTGAGAATATTTACAAACCAAAATCTCCATTCATTTGTGTATAAGATTAATCGATACAAATTACCTAATTCTTGCTGAATGACTTCAGAACGGATAACGAGGTTGATATTAAGGGTATCCCAGATTTTTGGCTAACAATATTTAAGAACGTAGGTACATTAGCCGAAATGGTTCAAGAACACGATGAGCCAATTTTGAAACATCTAACTGATATTAAAGTGAATTTCTTGAAATCAAGTCCGATGGTGAGTCATAATGCGATAGAAATACAATAATACTTGTTAATATTTAAAGGAAAGAGCTGAAGTAAAATTAATATTCTCTTAGGGATTTATTCTCGAGTTCTATTTTACGCCCAATGAATACTTCTCGAATACAGTACTCATTAAAGAATACATTATGAAGTGTGCTCCTGAACAGAACGATCCTTTCAGTTTCGAAGGACCTGAGATCTATAAATGCAAGGTACGTTCTATTTAATTTGACTAATTGCCAAACGAGATTTATTGCTAAGAGTGAATATCTCTTTTATAGGGCTGCACAATTGACTGGAAGAAAGGCAAGAACATTACAATAAAAACTATCAAAAAGAACCAGAAGCATAAATCTCGAGGATCTATGCGTACCGTGACCAAAGTTGTGCGAAATGATTCCTTTTTTAATTTCTTTACTCCACCAGTTGGTAAGTATAAATCTTACACGTTTTCCCTTTGCGTTCAACTTGCATTCATCCCATTTAATTCTGACAAACATTTGTTTCAGTGCCAGATGATGCGGATGCTGATTTAGATGATGAAACACAAGCTTTATTGACCAGCGACTTTGAAATAGGTCATTACATTAGAGAACGTATAGTTCCTAGAGCCGTGCTCTATTATACAGGTGATTTTTATAAGAATATACAGGCTCTTACTTACCGAGCGGAGTATATACACACACACACACACACACAACTGTGACAAAAGTATTTTAAATTAAAAATATATTAGAACAGAATGTAATTTGGTAAATAATTTCCTTGTGATTGATTCCAGGTGAAGGCTTGGAAGATGAAGATGAAGATTACGAGGAGGAAGAAGGTGATGACGATGACGACGATGATGAAGACGAGGACGAAGATGATGAAGAAGAGGCGTCCTCTCCTACTAATGCGCCTTCAGGTGGGAAACAAGGCGATGATATCAATGAGTGTAAACCACAGTAGAATAACAATTTAACGAGTTACGATGTAATGGAGGATCCATCATTTATACACATTGCATACGTGCAAACAGCAACACACTAACAAATATTTGATTCCGATAACTGCCTAGATAATCCTGCACCTTACGGCCCCAATATAATCCCTGTTTGTATCAACCATCTAATCATATATCTCGTATTCCAGATCAAGCCTAGATTCTTCAACATACCGGTGATACAAAAAACAAAACATGAAAGAAATTACGCGTACCACACTTCCCCCCTTACTCGCCGTTGACGATGAGTAGAATATACGTCTCATTACCTGCTAAGGTCTAATGTCATAAGTATATCAAATCTGCTCCGCTCTCGAACACACCGATTATTGTCATTTTTAATTGCTTCCTTTTATACTATTGTTACGTTTATATACGCAGACAGAGGTTGTTTGAATTCTTTTTCGAAACGCACGTTGCTCTATGGACAAATTTTTGGGTACTGTTAAAGCATTTTTAATACAAAAGTGAAAAAGAAAGAAACTCGTTTTATATTCTTCTTCCTTTATTCCTTTGAAAATCTTCCAAAGCGTTCATAGAGAGAACAAGTTCTTTTTCTCTTTTTTTTGTATTTACAATTGTATATTTATATTTTCGTCGATTAATATGCATTCGTTCGGAAACATTTGGCAACAATTAACAATTTCGCAATGTTATGTTGAAACTGCTCCGAATGATGTTTTAAAGTTATGTGACAAGAGTGATTCTCAGTCGCGCTGTAGCCAGCAGCGCGAATACAATTAGGATTCTTAAAAGTTTCTACACAAGAAATTTTTTAAACGGATTCTCGCCCATTGGTAGCAGCGTGATTGAGTCGTCACTCTTATATACCATGGCTCGTAATTATATTTTATAATGTGGTACAATATGCACTAAGTCAGACCTATGAAAATATAATATAAAAAACATTCGCGTAATACATTCATGTTTTTAATCTTGCTGCGAAAAAGACGTCGGCGTCATAAAAACCGAAAAGGTTTCAAAAAGGACCACTTTAGAGTTTTGTATCTGTTTACATTATTCTTAATCCCCTAACGTGAGGAGATTTAGCCCAGCTTCTCTTACTCCGTGAGCGCGTACTTGAAAAAACCAATTTATATATTTTTCTTAACGTTAATATGTTCCTCGGGAAATTTAAATCTTTTTCCTTTTTTTTTCTTTTTTCCTTTATGACGATTGGAAAGACTGTGTACAGACAACATAATTTACAATGCAGAATTGAAAATATGTAATCATGTAACGATTTCGACATCATGTATATGATTTCGTACCATTTTTTTTATATATCTACATTTTCATTCGTATGAACATACTTCTTTCATGCATATCGACTTGAACATGTATGTCTTTCGTTACATATTAAAAATACGAGCAATCATATTGTGCAATGATACGACCATATGTGCGTATAGTCGCAAATGTATTATTTATATAATTACTGCAATTTAAAATTAATGTCCATGCATCATAAATGGACGTAGAGGGGATGATACATGTATCTCCTAGAACATTACCGATAAATAATTTTGCTCGAAACTATAACAGCACAATTTCGCAGTGTATAGAGTCTATAAGTGTTCTTGTACAACGCAGTACAGTACAGGGGATATATAAGAGGACATAGTATCTCCAATAAAGCAAACTAAGTATTTGATGCTAATCATGGTACCTAGAATGTCATAAATAAATAACTGTACAAGGAATTAACTGAAGAGAATTGATCAAAACGATAAAAATTCATGGGATAACATCTCGTATAAAATGTCGTTTATGGTTGGTGGCCCATATTCAACCGTAAAACAATATAATAAATAGAATTTGTTTCACTTTGCCTAGACTTATTATTCTTTAGGAATGAGTAGAGCTTAATGAAAATCAAAATTAGTTGCATGTCACTCTGACATTTTAGAGTCGGTATGAAAATCCTTAAGTAAAAAAAAAAACATATAAATGCAATTCCATGACAACGTCACCCAAGTTTCATTCGATGTAATAATGAAATTTTTAAAAGTTTGATAAAATTTGGCATCATAAGATGTATACAGTCAAGGATATATATGTAAAATACTATAGTAAAAAAATAAGAAAAATATATACTTGCAGAGCTAGTACGGTCGCTCTTGCACAACATACCAACTAATTAAGCTTAGAAAGGCTAAAGGATAAAATGATATGCTCTTCGTTCGTATTACTTCGATAGGTCAGTCTTGCCCTAATCCCTCTTTTTCTTTCTTTCAATATTTTTCCTGACTTTTTTTATAACTTTAATGACTTTTAAGACCTTCACGGTAGCTTCGTTAATCACCAATTGAATACGAGGCTTAATTGTTTTTTAACGTTTCAATCCTGCATTTTGTCTGACGGATTTTACTAAGGGTTTCCCTCCTCGTCTTCCTCACTTGCATCCTCGCATACCACCTCGGTACTACGAGGCAACAACAGAGACACATGGCCATACCTAAAAAAATAAAATTTGTTTATTAATTTGATACTCTGTTATCATATGACTAATATTATTCCCTGTTATCTCACATTAATCTCCATGTTTATTATATGAACATATTGTTACACACAAAAATTATATAATTCTATTATTACTATAATTTTTCTATGCTCACTTGTTACTTCTATATTTTTCTTGTATCGCCTGCTGTTGTATGTTAGGAGCATTACAAAAGGTTCTATTCAAGTTGTTGATACATTCTCCAAGAGTTTTCAAATCATATCCGGTCGATAGTTCCAACTCGTGTGGCCAGACCTCTTCTTGCAACGTATGTCGTGAGAGCGCCAGTGCAGAAGCTGCTAAGTGGCTGGGTAAGTATTGGAGATATGGATCCGCCTCGAGCAATGACAGTTCACACAAGTACTAACACAATAGGGCAAAATATAAATTTATAAAAGATACAGAAGAAAAAATGGGCGAAATACGACGAAAATAGATCGAAAAGTTTAAGATATTTGAGAACTAAAGCGCATTGGTTCTCATTGTCTCGTATTTTTAAAATTGATTTAAAAACTAGATATTCGTATTTATTGTAGTGTACTTACCATTGCCAAAAATTTAATTTTGTCTGATAAATTGTTACTGATACAGTAATCCATGAGGAAGGTAAGAGGTGTCGGTACACTCAGATCAAAAGCCAGCACTCTCAGTATCAGATTTTCCATACGCAACACCTGCTTTTTCGTATATGTATCATCTGTGATATATACAAATTCTCCTACATCAGGAGCATAAATTTCCTCATATTTCCTATTAATAAATTATATGCAATTGTAAAACAATATTTCTTAAATATCTATTATTTTTTATATATTTATTTATTTATTTCTTATTATTTATTACTTATTTATTATTACTTATTATTATATATTTATTATTTATTATATGTACTCCTTTAAATAATTAAATCATATATGCAACAAACAATCTGGAATGTTCCATTGTGAAATTAATATAATTTGGATGAAATAAACTTACGCTGCAATAAACATAGCAGCAGCTCCAACAAGTTGCAACTTTGCTCTCACAACACTCATATATGATAGGAAACGATCTATATATGAAACAGCTAAGTATAGTGTTTCGTTCTGTAATCGATATTCTTCTACCACCTCCACAAGCCATTCCACTAAGATAGATCTCATAGCATATGTTATATCAGGTTGTTTCTTCATATAACCAGGCTTGGGTTTATGTATAGTCTGAAACAAAATACCTAATTCAAAAATTTATACTTTCATATAAAGTACAGTTCAAGTTGCAATATTGATAATTTTAGTTGCTATTGCTTCAATTCACATATAAAAATATAATGTTGCACATAAATAAATGTACCTCTGCCTCACGTAAATAACTGTATATGTCAGATCTGTATTCATCTATGTCAAAGAAATCACTTCCTCTAGAGTCTCTTCGGCTTAAACGTTCTTCTGTTTTAGGGGAAATACTGTATCTAAATTTCTCCAGTGACATAGGACTATCTGATAAATAGAGTTTATCATCTTGATTTTTTTTCTGACTGATATCTATGCCATCATGAAACACTGAACTATACGGAACACTAGTTTTCTCTTCCACTCTTGGTACTTCTCTATCCAATTTCTGTATTTCTGGTTGCTGTTTAGTTTTTATTTCTTTTTTCTCCTTTGAATCCCTAAGTACAACAGAAGTTTCTTCTTCTAATTTGTCCTCATAAATTTTAAAAACTGGCTCATCTTTCTTGTCTTCATAAATTTTAAAAGGTTCATATTGCGTTGGTATGACTGGTTTCATCTTGATATATTTATCATCCTTACAAACCTCCTGCTAAAAAATAAATTAACAGTAGGGATAGCTTTAACTTCTATGTGTGGATTTATCATCAAATATCAACATATATTGCGTCATAAAGATCCCAATATCTAGCTTCAAGACATATAAGTTGTATAACACAATATCAGTGCATACTAAGTACAAACAACAAAATTAACAATCATGCAAGAAAATTTCATTCTAACATGGTTAAAACTTGTACTTAGACATAGATATTTTCTAGGAAATCCATTAAAGGCATGAATGATATGTGAAAAGGTTTAACAATTCATGACAAGGTATCTGTATCATCTATCGTTACTTTAAGGAAACAAGATATATGGCATAATGTAGCGAAAAAACAAAACAGAGATCGTGCTTAATGAATTGTTAGATATACGTACGGTTTTAGGTATATTTCCTACACAATTATTCTGCAGGACGCCCAGAACTGCGCGTTTGTTCTGATATTGTGATTGTGTCTGTGCCATAGTGTCATTGATATTCTTGCCGCGACCACGCAGGTCGGCGGCGATGCGATTTTCCTGGTCTTCGTGTACCCTTATTGTGGCCATATCTCTGCTCGGTTCTCACAAGATCTTTTTGCTCCTCAACGAAGTAATTGTTTCACTAGCTATGGTTAGGTATTTGCGCAATACGTACGTGATATAGATAATTAACGTAGGCGAGATTACTTAGCCTCTCCCGCCACCGAGACAATACCGAAAAGGGAGAAAAACGACGAATCTGACGAGTCGACTAATACGCCCCGTTATAACGTCCCGCCGCCACGAACCCTTAAAGAACCCGAGCGTTTCGAGCGTACTTTAAAGCATGGCAAGCGAGGACACGGGACGCTCACGGCATACAGCGAACTTCAGTTGCCGTTTGATTCAAACAAACGCAGCTCCAACAGCTGGTGAGACGTTACGAGGTATCTCGCGAAATCAGCCAATAACAGATGGCGATAAGTCGTGGGAAACACGCTAACCAATCCTAACCAGCCTGCCAAGCGCTCGTTCGCCTAGGCATTTTCCCCTTCCCGCTAAAAGTGCTGAAGTTGGCCTTCCTACTATTTGAAAAGATATTTGAAAAGAAAATCACAACAAATAATATTCCTGTGCGACTAATATCCGCTGGAATGGTTTAAGATGGATCGATTGAATAAAAGCGTATTATTTTTGCATTAGCGATGTTTAGGATTAACGTTAACGTTTAATGCTAACAAATTGTGAGTGCAGGAAAAATGGCTGCGTTAAGAAGAACAAAATTATCAGTGAGCGCTTAGTGATTCTCGCTCCTGATTGGTAAATACTTTTGGGTCTATGAAGAATCTAAAAGAATGCTTCAATCACAGACAATAATCGCAGACACTAAGCGCTCACTGATCACTTTGGTCTGCTGAACGCAGCTAATGAAAGAGAAATTAAGCGTTTACGAGTCTCAATTGAAATTGATATTAAACCAATTATGATAACTCTCGAGTTGATTATGGTCTTACAGAATAGTACAGGATAATTTCTTATTTCTTTATGCTTGTAAAATTTATTTACAACGACATATATATCTCTCTTATCGTTCTCTGTATAAAACCTTCTGGATGACAATGGTTGCGTTCCGATATTCACTGCCAGTACTAAAAATACATCGTTTGTGTTACGTATACTATAGATTTTCAGTGCTGGCAGTGAATATCGGAACACAACTAATGTGAGAAGTAATGTGATCATTAAGATCATATAGATACCGATTACGATGACATGCCTTCTCTGCAAAAATTGAATTATACTTTTCGATGTAATAATCATATGAAAAATTGTGCCTTATACCTCGTCTACAATAGAAGTCATAGAGTCGTAAGTCGTACAAATTGACCAATCGCGGTCGATTATTTTTCTCTTATCGGACTATGATTGGTCAATTTCTACGACTTACGACTCTACGACTTCTATTGTAGACGATCCCTTAAGGCTCGTCTACAATAGCTGTAAGAGTAAGGCTGTAAGGCTGTAACGTAAGCTGTCAGCGAATGAAAATATTTCATTTCGTGTCTTGCAACCTTACAGCCTTACTCTTACAGCTAATGTAGACGAGCCTTTACAGAGTGTACTAAAAATTTTCAATTGGTAGTTTTTCAATTGGCGGTTTTCAATTGGTCTCGAAAAAAATTGTATGATGCTTAATAAAAACATTATTTCAAATGTACAGATGTTTCTTTCAACACGCTTATGCCCTTTCACCTCTTAGGATTTTATATGATAATTGTGTTTAATAAAAAAATACAGTTCTTTATTTGCGGTATGATGCTTATTAGATGTTCGAGAGACGTTCGATAGAGGTTCGAGAGACGTTCGAGAAACGTTCGATAGACGTTCGAGAGACGTTCGATAAACGTTCGATAGACGTTCGATATGGCACACCATCTGGATTCAGTGATGTCAGATGCAATATATTGCGACGTTACGGCGCATGTGTGAGATGACGTACTCTATGTCAATGACGGCAATAAAGCGCATCGCAGGGTCCATGAAGAGGCTCGCGCTATCCGATCAGCTGTCTTTCAAGCTCCAGCGTAGTTTTCCCGTGTTTCTTGCGCGAATGCCTTATCTTAGGTTATATTGTTCAATGAATACTAAATATCAGTTACATTAACATTATAATTCCAGTGAATACTAAATAACAGTTACGTTACATTAACATTATAATTTTTCACTCAACTATGTAATTGTTACATAATATTTGTATTAGACTCATATTAGACTATAGATTGAGAATTACTATCGGACCAATTAAAATAATCACGATTTAGATTATCTAATTTACTCGATTGCAATTTTCAATACATAGTATAATACGGGCGCTATAATACCTTAAAAAAGATACGATACTGGGGTTTTTATTCAAGCAGCGAGCTCTATGTCTTCTCACGCATGCGCTGTAGCATCGCAATATATTGCATCTGACATCACTGCCTAGATTCAGTTGTAGACTGCAGTAGACTGGTGTCGCATGGAATGCCGCCGAGGATGCCGATGCCAATGCCGATGCCGATGTCGATGTCAATGTCGATGAATCCAGTGTTTGGCGGTCCTGGTCCGATGAGACAAAGATTATTTTTACCACCGCGACCAGCTGGCGTCTCGCGACCCAATGGCTTGTTACCGCTCTTTCCAGGATTTAGAGCACGTGGCATGGTACCCGGTATCATACCACCGATGGGACCACGAGGCATTGGACCACGTAATCCGATGCGACATTGGTACAGAAGGATACCGCCGCCACCGCTGCAGATGCCATCCATGAGGCCCAGATTTCCAGTGGGCAATGGTAACATCAAGGGCAAAGCAATGAACAACACAAAAAAGGTCAACAAGCTCGAAGTATGTATTCACATTTACTCACTCATGCACGCACGTGTATGTGGCTTGTTGTTTATTAACTAAATAAAATTTGCTTCCTTCGTCCTTGAATTATATATAATAGTACCTCCTAGTTGTAAGTGATCTTGAATTAGAATTGAGAACTTAACATTTGTTCTTATTGATTTGATCGTATTTATTTCTGTATTTGGAGAATATAAATTCTCATGGAAAGGACTGTGATATCTTTCTTATGATGAGATTGGCAAACAATTGTAAAGGATAAATTGTTAATAAAACTTAGAAATTTTCATCCTGGTACTAATAAATATCTTCATTTACAAATATGATTATTTAGGAATTAGAATTAAAGAAGCCATGGATGACGGATGAAATTCGTACTGAGATACAAAAGAAAAATAAACTGTACGCTAAAGCAAAAAAGAATAAAGATGCAGTAGAATGGGACGAATTTAAGGACCTACGAAATAAAGTAACCCGGATGATAAGAGATGCAAAAAATGAATACCTTGCAAAGCATCCTGGACAGGTATATTTTTGGTCTCTACTGCAAATATTTTTATATTTTTTACATTGTATTATACTATATATTATAGCATTTCTTTTTCTTTATTTTTATTTGATCCTATGATATAACAATAGATAATTTTATTTTGCTGTTAGTCTTCCTCTAACTTACTCATTTTATATGTTTTACAACTTATATTTGTTATGTTGCTTAATATTTTTGCTTTTTTATTTTCTATTTCTGTCCTTATAATTTTATTTATTATTTACTATTACAAAAATAGATGTGATTGAGAGATATGCATGTATATATGCAAATATATATGTTTTAATTCATAAATAATTGAATAAATGAAAAAAGATATGCAAAATATGCTAGATTTTATGAGCAAGGAAATTCTCTATTAACAAATATCTATTTCCAGTTATAAAAAATTAATATGATATGTTGGGTTTGTTTCAATTTAAGATTAAAAAGATATATTATTAATGCTAATTCATATAATGGCAAGTTATAATATGAGTGATTTTTCTGATACTGTATAAAATTAATTCAGTACAAATATGAAATGCATGAAGGAGAGAAAGCAGGGAAAAATAGAAAATAATAAAATATCTTACAGATTTAATGTTAAAAAAAATTGTATTTAAAGTAAGATAAAGTAAAATTTCTAAAATTTTATCAAATCATGATTGTTTCAGAAGTAATTTTAAGATTTTTATTGTGCATCTCTATACCAGATATGTTTAACAGAACACAAATCTTATATGTATTTTATCTAGTTAAATGTCTAATTGTGAATTAATAGATAAAACACAAGTGAAATAATAACAACATATACAATATTATGATAATTCTAGAAAAAAAAATGTTATTCTAGCAGTCATTCTGCGATTAAATGCAGCTTATATCATTTGCTGTTGATGGATTACTTTGATTTTACAGGGTGGTCAGAAAACAGATGATAACAATACAATTGAATCCATTCAGAAAACTGAGAATTCAACTGAACAATCAGAACAAATGGAGCAAAGGGAGGAGACGCAGCCTTCCAGCGAACAGGCACAGTCTTAAGCTTCAGGCTACTCCTCCTATGTAAATTGTATAATTGAAATCACGTATAAGTATTCTGTTTTCAAACTTCAGAACGATTTGATCTCTAAGTTTTGATATCATTTAGCAAATTCATTACATTATCCTGTTATAAGTCTTGTTATAAGTTGAGTCTGAATGATCTTCATGTACAAATGCTATCTTTCATCTCCCTTTTTTACATTATTTTCACAATGTAATATTCATATGACAGACATCAAGATCATTTTTTTCCTTTTTTGTATCATCTATATCATAAATATATATACATGCTCTATTTAAATCTTGATAAAAATACTCTCATGAGGTTAGCATGTTTACTAGGTGGAATAATTATAATTTAGAATTCTAGGTGACTCATGTAAGAGAATTAGTGATTTATTTGAATCATTTTTTTTACGTAGCATATTCCTGTGTAACTGATATAGTTTCGTATGTAAACATTTGAACATATTAGTCATAACTTATTGCCACTTGTCGCCAGGCATGTAAAAGCTGGTCGTTTGTGGGTAAATTTTCTTAAGAAATTTTTTTTCCATATTTATGGCCAGTATTTAGTGCTGCAAGCTATAATGTTAAGGAATATAATAATAGTATATGGTAATTAACCATAAAACTGACGTACAAATAAACAATTATATATTCTTCACATACATTTTAATATGTAATTTAATATGTAAGTGTATTTAATATGTAAGAAGAAAGTCTGAAATATAGCTTGTGGCACTGATAGATTAATAGTATAACTTTTATAAATAATTATGGCGATACGTGTAATATATTCCATATTATTCCACAATATAGTCCACAAATAACTTCCAGAATATATTGAGCAAGACAAAAACCAAATTTGTAACTAAAATGCATATTGTAAGAATAAATCATATTTCTAATTCTGGTGTTTTTTCCATCATTTTATCATTCTGAACCACCAAGGAGAAATTATCCTCGTGTGTCGAAATAATCGTTCTGAAATATGAAAATAATCATATATGATATTCATATGACATATATAATCAGATATGATATATAATATTTAACAATTTACATTTGAATTAATGACTACACAATACTTTAACTATGCAATATTTTCGTACACGTTAATTAAGTTGCATACACTATACAACGTATAGTATAAATGGGACCAGAAATAAAATGCGTTAATATTTATATATAGGCAATTAACACACGAAACTAATAATTCTCATATATACATGTATATATACATATATATATGTGTGTGTGTGTGTGTGTGTGTGGATGCTATATATATATATATAGCATGAAGAAAAAATTGATTATACATGTATTAAACGTTTTATTTTATAATTATATAGTTCAAAATATTTCACTATTAAACATCTCGTGTGAATATATGTTTATTATATTGCTAATATGCTTTGAAAAAGTAATTAAGCAGTGTTTTGACAAAATATTCGTAAATTTATACACACCTGAATCCAAGGAGAGAGAAAGGATAGGTATAGGAAGGAAAACGAAATTAAAATGTAGATATGTACTTCTCATATGTAAAAAAATTGGAGAAGATTGAATTTCTGAATACCCTGGCTATAGTTTTAGAAATTTTACATTAATATAATTTATCATGCTTTTATTGGATGCACAATATGTATATAACAAAATAATGATACAACTGCAGATGATGTATTAACTAAACTTACTCAGTAGATGTATCCATATATACATTGAAGTGTAAGGTAAAGTTAAAATAGTAGAATACATTAAGATTTGTGTAAATGATAGTTGACATTCTAAACAAAATAGCAAATGTTTCCAAAAAATCAGACTCATAGCGTGTACAAAATATTTTAAGTAACGATTTTTAGGCTCATCTATATCCAGATGATGAAAAATCAGACGATCAAGAAGATGAAATTGATGTTGGCTCCGAAGATGATAATTCATACTATGAGGTATGCGACAAAGATTTTTCATCCGAGAATGCTTTTACTGAGCATAGAAGTACACACAAACTTTGTGGTATTGATGGTTGTACGTTTGCGGCGCATCCTTTGCTTGTCGAAAAACATTAGTATGCAACATGCTACATGTAACATAAGTTCAAATGTATTGCCGCGCCAGATTGTTTAGAGGCAGTGATGCGGGGATGCCGGAACATCCTTATCAGAAGGATCGGAGTTAGACATGGTAGTAAATTCGGATCTCATGTGGCCTTTTCGGGTCGTAAATCCAAACCGAGAAACCCGAGCAGCACTCGTAACAAATTCGTCTACGAGCACGAAGGTGAAACGACCTCCATCGTTTCGGAAGGCCTGCCTTTCTGGACTCAACAGCCAGCAATATGCCACGGTCCTGAGAACTGTGAAAAAGCATATGAAAGCGCTGAGCTCTGTCACGTTGGAGACGATCGAGTCGCTCCTGGGCGACTGGCCAAGATCCTGCGGACGCTTGGAACGAGAGCTCAGAGTTCTCAAAGAAGCGATCATGTCGCTCTTGAAATTGACAAAATCCTCGACGGATACTTGGGAAGAGAGAGTTCACAAACTCCAAAGGAGCGGCCACGCCGCTCCTGACAGCCAAGGTCCTCGATAGATGCTTGGAGAAAGAGAGTTCACACGGAGGCGGCCAAGTCCGCTCCTGATTCGTGGCAACGCAGAGAACTCAAAGCTGAACAAAGTAGAATCGAACCATAAGCCTCAACCCAGCAGGATATATCGGCGCCGCCTTCAACTCAGCAGAGTTGTATATTGCGGTGGTTCGACTCTATACTACGCGCCAAAAGCCCGTGTCACATTACGTATTATGGATACGGATTGGATTCAGATTGCGAATCATTGAATCTGAGCTTCTTGTTCATACTACGAATTCGATTTGCAATGTGGTCGCTGTTTGCTGCTTGTAATGTGTGACAATATATCTATAGCAAAAAAGTATTATTTAAACGAAACATGAAAAAGAAGAAATTGAGTGCATGTCTTTTGTTCCTAATCATGATTCAACATGATTTATGTACATCTGAGCGCATAATGTGGGTGCAAAAATGGATAGCAAGAAGAAAAAAGAAAGGATTACATTATAACCTTTTTATGGAACTTTCATTAGAAGATCCTAATCGTTTCAAAAGGTTTGTTGCTACACTTATATAATATAATTTAAAACTGAAGGAATCTTTATCAATATAAGGAATTTTTTTAATTTAGATGTCTCAGAATGAACGTAGATGTCTCAGAATGAATTTTTGAACATCTTCTGAATGAAGTAACTCCTTTAATACAAAAGCAAAATACTCAGTTGCGGGAAAACATTCCATTTGATGAGAGACTGTCAGTTACTTTACGGCATTTAGCAACAGGTGAGAGACAATAGAATTTTAATTGACAGTAGTATGCCAAAATTTTGTTATATTACTAAATTACTGTTATATATGCTATTTTATAGGAGAAAATCAAGAATCGTTATCTCTTACATTTAGACTTGATACAAGTACCATATCAGGAATTATAAAGGAAGTATTAAGAGCAATACTTACAGTTTTGAAAGAAAAGTTTCTTCGTTTTCCTAATACTGAAGACGAATGGTGTGTAATTGCCAATCATTTTGGAGAGCGATGGGATTTCCATCATGTGATAGAGGCAATGGATGGAAAACATTGTTATTGACCCCCCTTTATGCTCTGGGTCAATGTTTTACAATTATAAAGGAAATTATAATGTCGTCTTATTATTAGCTTTAATAGATGCTAATTTACGTTTCATTTATGTTGATGTGGAAACTAACAGCAGAGTGAGTGATTCCGTTGTTTGGAATAATTATTCCTTGAAAAAGCACTTCAATAACAATACTCTGCATATCCTTCCTCCTGCTCCATTGCCAGGTTCAGAGGAAGATTTTCCTTTTATGATAATCGGAGCTGAAGGTTTCCTATTATCACAGAAACTATTAATACCTTATCCAGGGCCTCAATGTAGTAGGAGAATAGACAGAAGAATATTTAATTATAGGTATGTAAAATGTTTATATCTTTTCAAATTATCAAAAATTACAATAATGTCAAAGTATTCCTTTCTTTATGTGTTATAGATTATCTAGAGCTCGTCGTTGTGCAGAAAATGCTTTTGGCGTAATGGTTGCCATAGAAAAGGCTGTTTGTATAATAAATTTATCTTCCTATTCTTCTGTAATATATATATTTTTATTCGTAAGAGTAAGAAACAAATTAAAAAAGAATAAGGCACAACACAAGGCGCGAACACGCAACTTGGCGAGTACTAGCACCGCGCTCAGTCTGCTGCGCTACATCGTCGCTTGGAAGTAACTCTGCAAATGTTAGAATAACGGACCATACTTAAAATCGCGAAATTTCAATTTGTAATTTCTCCCAAATGCTTGAATGTTGCATCGTCTCCGGTTAATAGTAGCTTTTGCTGGACTTATACTAAATTTCTGCCAAAGCTCGTCAAAATCAGCGACCCCAAGTTTAGCAGCAGTCCTTGTCAGATTATAGTCCAGAAAGAATTAGCCTTGCTCGCGTCATTGACAGAGTTGCTAGATGCAATATATTACGACGTTACAGCGCATGCACGAGATGACGTAGAGCACGCTGCTTGAATAAAAGTCTCAGTATCGTATCTCTTTTAAGGTATAGCGCCCGTATTATACTATGCATTGAGAATTGCAATTGAGTAAATTAGATAATTTAAATCGTGGTTATTTTAATTGGTTCGATAGTAATTCTCAATTACAATTACATTACAATTTTTCTACATTACAAAATCTACATTACAATTTTTCACTTAACAATGTTATTGTTACATAGTCGAATGAGAAATTATAATGTTAATGTAACGTAACTGTTACTTAGTATCCACTGGATAACATAACCTGGAATAAGGCACTCGCGTAAAAAACGCGGGAAAACTATGCGGGAAGATAGCTGATCGGATAGTGCGGGCCCCTCCATGGACCCTGCGATGTGCTTGCCGTTATTGGCATATGCTTTCGTAGAGCTTACGTCATCTCACGCATGCGCTATAGCGTCGCAATATATTGCATCTAGCAACTATGGTCGCTGAGCGAGAACGAGAACAAGAAAGTGTGAAAGATATTCTCACTTGCGTCGCTGAGCGAACACGAGAGTGAGAAGGAGGGAATGATATTTTTCTGTCGCTCGGCGCGCCGACGATTGTCAAGCGCGTGGTCCACACGGATAGACTGAGCCGGCTATGGTGCGTGCGTGGTGGGTGAAATCAGGAAAGAGTCGTGGACATTGGCATCGTAGTTCATGTGCACGGTTGTACAGAGGGCGCCTCACACTGGGCTCGGCTAAAAGCGGCCCATGGCATCTCTCCTTCTCTCTGATACTACGCAGCGTTAAGCCTCTTGCACAATGCCAGGTAACAGGCAATAAGAATAAAAATAGACCAATCACAATAGATTATTCTTGTAATAGTCGATTGTGATTGGTCTATTTTATTCTTATTGCTTGTTGCCTGGCATTGTGCAAGGGGCCTTACACTCACGTTGATGGTGACAGAATTTTGCTGCTTGTGCGTGTCGAACAAAATGCGAAGATGGAATATTCAATAGAAGATGCGAAAAAATGGGTAGAAGAAAGGAAAAAGTAAGTCGTGTTAATATTAATAATATTTATAATATTTATTAATATTAATAAATTAATATTAATAATATTTATAATATTTATTAATATTAATAAATTAATATTAATAATATTTATGTTAAAATAATAAATATTTATGCTTTTTCAAGATGTTGCTATTTTAATACAAATATGACAATTTTGTGTGAATAGATCTGTATTCTTGTATATTTAGTTTCATTTTTAACATTCTGTTATTTACCAGTATTTAATTATTTATTCACCTATTATATATATTTACTTTTCATACATTACTCTTATTCATATATTACTTTTATTACATATTTAATCTTCATGTTAATTATTCGTAGTGTTAATATATAATTGTATTGTATTGATGCTAAAACAGGAGATTTCCTACTAAAAGTAACATTATGTTACGTGAAGCGGAGAATCTAGAGAAATTACAAAGAGGAGAAACAATTCAGCAAAATCAGAGTGTTTTCAAAACGATGAAAACGACGAATATGCGTAGGAAAAAGCGTAAACCACGCAGGCAATTAGCACACAAAACTAATAATTCTCATATAGATGAAACATACAGAGGTTTACGTCCATTTCCTGGAATAAGTAAGTTATATAATTATGCAGAAATACTTTTGTTTTATATACATAATTTATATAAAGTTTGATTTACATTAAATTTTAATTCAGTTTCTTTTGCACAAGATATCTAATATAATTTATTTTCCGCTATAAACACTATTGATGTTACAGATATTTTGCAAGAAGAAGAAAGTTTGAATGAAACGTCTCTCAATGAACAAATTGAACAAACAGTTTTCCATAAAGAAATAATTGATAATATTTCAGACGAAGATGATGATATACCACAAACATTTGCTAAATCTAAACCTGCTAATTTATCTATATTTTCTTTAGTAGCAAATTATGAAACTGAAGAAGAGGGTAAGTAAAATAATTTCTAATATAACAGAATATATTACTTTCTCATTATTAATTTTCTTATATGTGAGAATATTTCAAAACTTATATAATTATTTATACTGATTAGTATTCTCCATTTAAATGAATTTTCTCCCAATAGGGAATCTAAAGCTAATTGTAATTTTAGATGCTGCTTCTGAAGAAATACCAATAGAAAAAGTGCAAACAGAGAATCTTCAGGATCATAAGACAGCAGAAAACACAGTTCATGAAGAAACTTACAATGATGCGCAATCTTGCACAGATGCAAGTGAGAGTAAATTGAATTACCAGATAATAGCTGATGATAAATCCCAACATCCCAGCATTAAATATAAAGATAAACCTAAGCATAACACTCATCAAATAGTGGAAGATAAAAGACAAGAGAAAGTTTCAAATAGGCACCATAACAAATTATTACAAATGTTACTCTCGCGTTCTATACAACACGAAAGAAATTTAATATCCCAATGCTTAAAATATATCGTAGATGATAATTTCTTCGAGTCGCCAAAATCTTGAATATAGTAACTATTAGAAATAGTACTATCTAAATAAGTTATAGTAAATTGACTAAACTTTAAAAAATATATAATTCACTATTTGGTGCTATTGATAATAATTATATAAAGCAGAAAATAAGATTTAATCTGGATTGAGATTTATTTCCTTTTTTAACTAGTTTTTATATTTATTCTTTTTCTTCAAGACAATTTTCAAGTATAAACGATTATAAGAAGGAAAATTGACAAGAATATTTATAAATGTATAATATATTTTTCGTTATTTACATGTAAAAATAAATTTTCAGTATTATATATCTAAATATCCTCCCACTAATTTATATAAGGAGTTATGTTTTTGAAAGAAATTTTTTCTTTTTCTTAAGTTTTTTCTGTTTTTCTTCCGCATGATCACTCTCGGTCGGTCGTTTTTCACCAGTCTTCACAGAAATAAGATTTTTATTATGTTTGCCGGATAACGCATTAGTCCATTCCGCTTCCAAGCCTTTAATAACATATTGGTCCAGGTTTTCTTTCCTTAATTTCTTCAATTCTTCTTTTTGTTTGATCTTGAATTCCTACAATCAATCAATCAATCAGTTTATTTTTACTTCAACATATAGTAAAGAAAGGGATTTGGTTTATAAAAAGCTTTACCTCAACCTTCCGAAGTATTTCGGATCTCTACCTTCTACTATTATTTTTTTGTAATTTTTGTAATTTTTGTGTGCAAAAGTCTAACCTAAACACCCATTTAATGTAATCAATTTGTATTTTTTCCAATTTCTTTTTCTCTCTCCCCCATCTCTACTATTTGTATTTTTTCCAATTTCTTTTTCTCTCTCCCCCATCTCTACTTCGTAAGACATTACATTTTTTACTAGATACTTAAGCAATATCCATCTTTTCGTGAAATCATTTTTATATTTTCAGATTTTCCCTCCTAGCCCTTATACCTTATTTGCTACAATTTTGTCTTTTTTGCTCATTTTCTTATATGTCCCACATATTCGCCCTTACTGTTAAACTTAAATCCTAGGTATTTAAAGCTCTGTACTTCTTCTAATTCTTTATTTTCCCATTTCCATCTTTTTTTTTCTTTCCCTATTAAATACTAATATCTTTGTTTTCTCAATAGTCAACTTGAAGCTTCTATCCTTAAGGGAACCTGGTTTATAGGGTCAAGATTTTCGAATTTTTTTTTGCTTAATCTATAGTTAAACTATTTAAGAATATATGTCCCTGTCCTGAGGAGGGAAATGAAGAAAACTAATTGGTTTATTCTCTTATGCGTTATGTATTATGTGTTATGCAAAAGCCTGTGCTTTTGCCCTATGTGTTTTGGTTTTGAGGCGTTTATTTCAACGGTCAGTCTTGTTCCGATTCTCGACGAGAAAAAAGCTTCTATTTAACAAAGATTGACAGTTTTAAATATGTATCCAAAAGGCTCAAGAGGTACTTCGCAGCGCATTTCGAAATCGCCGAAAGAAGATTTCATAGCAACCAGCATTCCAAGAATGAAAGTTATAAAGTCTGATATTGAGAAACACCTTACTTCGATCTATGAAGATCTTTCCAATGAAGATCTTTTCACTAGGCGCGCATATACAAAATTCCAACAAATCCTTCAATTCGACTATGTGGCATATCGCTCGCAAACACCTCAATTCGGGCTTTAAAATTGTTCAAATCGCTGCATATTTGGCTACTGGCATCTTTAACGAAGACTACACTGCCATTTTATTAACGATGCAGTTATTAGAAATCAATATCGGCTAGGAGTGCAAAATGTTTGCTGATAATTACGATGCGCAGCGAGTTACGAGAAGGGAGCGGCGCTGAAGCAGCAAGCACAGCTCGTAGACTGGAGCAAATGCAGCGAAACGAGTTTTATGAAGAAACTGAAGGCTTGCAGTATGGCCCTGGTATAGCTGATTAACATAAGATTGCAGTAAGTCACCAATAAATGATATTTTTTTGTACCGCAAACTTTAAATGTCTTTTTCTCGAAATATCATTTTCATACTTTTTTAAAATCTGCAGGAATGATAGAGAAAAAACTAATTGATCAATCGATTTGATTCAAAAGTGTTAGCTAGAGAATGAACAACCATTTTATGTGAACCTCAAACATTGGTAAAAACATTAATTTAAATAATTGTTATTGCATAAAACGGAGGATATTTTCTCTCAAAAATGTCATTTTTTTTTCAAGTGCTAAAAATTTTATGGTTTTTTAACCATGTTCCTGGTTCACATAGAATAAAAATACATGAAAATTAATAATCTTTTTGGTTTTTTTGTTTCAGATAAAAATTGCGGGCTACATTTTTCCCGCAGATTGGCAACTCGGTTGGCGTGGCGCTCTGATTAGAAATACACCATGGTGTCATTTTGCAATTATTTTACAATATAAAAATTTTTTTCATCTTCAAATAAGCAGTTAAATATTGTAAAAGTTTTAGAAACCTCAACTGCATTATTGTCAATAAAAAAATTCATAAAAACCTCCCTTTTTTAGCCTTCTAAACCAGATTCCCCCCTTAAGAATCTCTTTAATGTGTTCATCATATCTAACATTGTTTCTCTATTTTTTACCAATAGGACCATATCATCTGCATATGCCAGTATCCATACCCTAATTCTACCTAACTTTACGCCACCTATTCTTTTTTCCATAATATATATATATATTTACACAATGTGTGTGTGCGTGTGCGTGTGTGTGCAAAGGAGTAAGACAAGGATACGTGTTAAGCCCGACTCTAACTTAACATGTCTTACTTAACATCCTTATCTTACTCTTTTGCACATTCTAAATGTGTTCGTTTTTCCTTCCTCTTGAGCTCCTACAATATTTTGTTATTTTCAATGCGTTTTAAATAAATTATAAATGAGAATATTCAAATAAGAGCAATGTACAAACTTAGCTCCATTATACATTAATTATATATAAATTCTCAAGATATACTATATTATGTATATAATAAAAAACAAGTAAGAACTGATACTGCTGATAATAAAACCAAAATTCAATTATACAATAAGACAAAACAAATTAAACGTATACGCCTCGGTCCTAAGATTAGGATCATCTTTGACATATAATAATTGTAGCTGCAACTTTTTTAAAACATGATTATGCAATTATACAATTTACTGGAGCCAAAACCGTAACTATATGATTGCTATTTTATAAATAAAAGAAGAGCAATGATGAAAAACAATAAAAATGCATCGATATACGATTTTTCTTCGTCCAAGATTTTAATATTGTCTTAATCAAACTTATGTTCTTTAATACGATTTTTAATTGTCTGCTAATTTGTCTAACATAAGAACGTCGTAATCAAGACAATTTTATAAAGGATTCTATTTTATGCTTGCTGATGTAATTTATCTGTACGTAGTTTAATAATGTTGTTAAATCTATTCGAGTCAACCAATATAAAGTACGAAATAAGACATGAATTTTCCGGTAACTTGCAAATGTATGGAATGACAAAACCGATTTGTTAATTCATATTTGAAAGTGTAAATGTATTTATTTATATTAAATCTTTTATGTTTATTTATTAACTATTAATTTTATTAACCTTGGCTGCGCTCTCCAACTCCTCGTGTAGATTCTGTCCGCCCAAAGGATCCATTTTTATTTGTCCGTTCACTGACGATTCTTTGGTCATTATAACACTTGCAATGTGTTCTTCTGCGACGCTATTTAGATATTGTGTTGATTTACGTATAACACGGTTGAATAGTCCGAGTAACTGTGAAGACGGTAAATTCAACTCTTCTGCCAGCTTGTCGACGGTTTTATGTTGCAAACCTAAGCCTAGCAGAATTGCCTAAAAATTTCCATATACTCAGTTATCGCATAAGAAAACGTAGAATTTTTTATGCAGAATGAAAGTATTAGGGACACTTCGAAACAACTTACTGACTGTGCTGCTGAGAAATGAGTATCGTTCATCATGTTTAAGAAGTGTAGGCGAGCTAATGACGGCAATAAATCCATAATTAAATGATAATCTGTCATGTTGTTACTATACATTTGTAAACGCTTCAGATCGTATGATGTGAAGTGAACGTCCAACATTTCTTTGCTCAGTGCTGAAACGAATATTTCCTTTGAAATTTGAATTATTTTTATTAAGATTTTATTATAATTAATCAATTAATTAATTAATCAAAGTTTTCATTGCAACAGATTTTGTAATATAGAAGAATAAATTAATTAATTTTATATTAAATGTGATTATATATTTATGATAAACTAATGATAGATTAATGATAAATTAGTAATAAATAGTAATGAATTTATAACAAATTAATGACGACATAATACACTTACTGACAGAATCTAGTTGTATTGTTTTGTTAACAAGTATGCTCAATGCAAGTGATGCTGTATATGTGTTAAATGCATAAGAAAGCAGACTCAAGAATCGCCGCCGGAAATCGCTCCAATAATCACGCAACCATTCAGAGGCAGTTAGTTCCCCTTGAGTTCTGTAGAGCATGATGCACGTGTGTTCTCCTGTTATGTCATTTGCAGTTTGCCTGAAAGATTACGTTATACATCTAAGATCGTCCAATTCTTAATTTGACAGTAACGCTAATAGTACAATTTTTCATTTTTATATTTATATGTATACGTTATGTATATGTTATTTATATGTATACCTTAAATATACGGGTACGAAATTGGCTCGTTTCCAGAACTTCAGCAGTTGTTCAGTAATCCCGAAAGATACACCGATGTAATCCAATTGTTCTGGAGGTCGCTCGCTTAATTTCAATAATAATGGCGGAAGCGAACTGCGAGGTTCTGTGAAGATAATTAGATAAGTAAAATAATGTTACTTCATTTAATAAAAATTGCGTTAATGGACAGATAAGCATTATGAAGAAATTATTAATAATACGAGTAATATTATAAAATTATACCAATCGTTTCCTCTAGTAAACCCACTGCCTCATCAGGAACATTCTTGATTTCCGTTATCGGTTCTTGCACAACGTCTTCGTTAATATTAGGTAGTTGCATTTCATAATATTGCTTTAATAGCAGCAATGCACGACTACCGTATCCCATCTACAATTAAACATTTTTTAATGGAACAGTATAAATTTCATGTGCATATTAAATGATGATTAATAAAAAAACACGTACTCCGTGATAATCTGGATGCGTAGCAATACGAACAATGCGCGCACCCGCCAATAGTGGAAAATCTTCGTCTTGATATTGCTGAGCGATTGTCCATGGTATTAAATCGCCGGATGCTCTACGACCTCGTGAAAGGCCTTCACTCACACTGGTTTTGCTAACTTCACCTTCCAAGCAAATCTAAAATAAATTTGTATAAAAAATCTATATTTTTTACGGCAATATACATATAATATGGCATGTAATGTGTGCATAAACAAATGAAAAATGTTATTTGTTTAAGAACACAAGAATAATTCGTTTAAGAACATAATTAAATACATGTGTGTGTTGCGAAAAATGTTACTCACTTGCAGAACGACTAGTATTTCAGGTAAAGTCTTTTTATTGAGATCTACAGGTCCCAACAGACAAAATAAATGATGTGCAGGTGCGTCAGACATCATTTGTAAGTCGTTAGGTGTGTTCTAAAATAGATATTAATGAATAATTAGTAAGATTTTGTAATATATATTTTTTGTCTTAAAAATTATATAACGCTTACTTTATAATGCGATGCGACATATAGAGAAACCAATCGTTGTAAGAACAATTCAGAGGCCTTGTGATAAGAGAACAATGTATCCCTAAAGAAAGATTCTTTTAGAATTTTCAAGATAATAATTTGAGATGCTTCATCTTCTGTATATTAATTTTTTAAATCATAAATTATAATTGTACAACGTTTTATAAGTCATTATACGTGTCATAGAATACCTGTTTATGTAATACAATTGACATGTGTCGGGAGGAGGACATCCAGATAAAATAGGTGCGTATATCGTAGCGTTCAAACAAAGTAAATCACATAACCACTGCTCCACGGCATCACTAGGTTTGTAACGGATCGATTCGTCAAGAGTAAGTTCATGTAATTGTCTCCCAACAAGAGTCTTCTCATTTTGCTCCTCATTCTTTCCATGACTGTTTGATCCGATGGTCTGTGTCCGTAATTGCTGTAGCAGTTTGAGTGATAATGATCGGCCCGTACCTTCATATCTATAAAAAAATTGTAATGAATTTGAGATATTTTAATTATTTAAAAATTCCTTTTCTATGATAGAAATATCTTACCCATTTATAGTCGATGCCAGAAATATCAGATAAGGTCCAAGCATAGTTTTGACATAAGGTAGAGGAATTGCTGCTGCTTCGTCGATTACAAGTAATTCTGCTTGATTTAACTTATGTGTGTCCGTTGGATGGATATACTGTACAAAAAGCGAAAGATTAATGTTATTAATTTGTAATACACTTGCGAGTATAATTTCTTATTATATATGACTGTAGCAATTTATTATACATTTCGTCATTGTTTTATCTCTGAAAATAGTTTCATTTTAGAATAATCAATATACAAAAAATTCTTAATTTTTTAACGGACTGATCAGATTTACACACTTGAATTGTTTGACGATGGTCGCGAAATATATTTACGCGCACTGTAGCTTTATTGAATTCAGGATTTGTAGACTGTACTAAACCATAGTCTAGATGTTCCTGATATCCTAAAGCATCAAATCCTATAAAAAAATATATACATATGTATATACACATATAATACACACACACACACACACACACATAAACAAATATAAATTTTATTCACTTTATGCCAATTGTTTTATATGAAATAATTAAATTAATAGACGTACAAAACTTTACTTACCTTTGAACACAAATTCAAAAAGTGTGTTCAAATTTTCTGGAGAAGGACTTGAAATATATATGTTGGAGTATCCAAAAGTAATAGCACCAGCAATGGCGAGTCCTAGTGCAGCTGATTTTCCACGTCCCCTAGCTGCAGTTAATGATACAGTAGACCGTAATGTTTTTTCTGAGATACATTCAATGAACTTCAGAACTGCTTTTGCCTAAAAATATTTAAATGTATAATTAAAAACATGTGCACTACTGGAAATATCTAATTCTTCTCTTATTTCTAATATAGTTTTTATATAATTATGAATTATCAACCAATGTATATTACATAAAATATTTCTCTAATGATTTATCTATGAATTTACCTGATCAGTGGTTTTACAACAATTAATTAATGCAGATACAGGCTGAGTATCTTTTAGATGCTCCTTTAAATCATCTAAACTTGATTGCTCCTCTGATATAGTAGACTTATGCACAGGTTCAATTTTTAGATTGTGAGAAGATATAGACAATACATTTAGTTGGTCATCAACTACTAAACACCGATTACAAGAAGCCAGTGATAATAGAAATCTTTCATTAAATCGACATATGATATCCTAAAATAAAATAATAAATAAATAAGGAAATATTACATTATATTTTAGAATCTCAGATACATATTGGGAAAGAATATATTCATACTTTATGAGCTTCTGTGCGGAACCTCTGATGGACATCCATGTTCATTGTATACAATTGCTTCAAAGAGTTCATAGATTGTAACAAAAATACAATTATTCCACCACCTTCTACTGTTTCAATAGTACGTGCCAATAGATTTGGTGTAATTGCTTCAAAATCCTGTAATTAGGATATCCTGTTGTGATATTATTCATAAGTACATTAACAAGAGTAAAACAAATACATACCTGTAATATACACATGCCATAAGTATTACCTAATATTTTATGTGTTTCATTGTAATAGCAATAACGAATGTTGGTTGAAACAACAAACAATTCAAATGGGTCATCCTCATTAACATCCAATTTACCTGACTTAATTTTTTTCTGTAAAGACTTCATGCGTTTCTTTCTGTGACTACTAAAACCTAGATCTTTTTTATAGCACCATAATACAGAAGGCCTAGCCTTTACAACAGTTTTGGATAACATATGATGCAATAATACCACCTGAAACAATATTTTCTTATAATACTTAAGTAATAATAATAAATGACTGCGAATCTCTTTAATATTTTACAAACACGTGTTTTAACATCCTGCACGTATACTATAGAAGATTCAATCAAATACTTACTTGATCTCTTGCTTTCTCACCGATAACGATGAACATTGTTCTGTGCCCCACAGCAACACCATTTTCTATCAAAACTCGTATACGATTATCTATTTTTTTACGAACCATTTTAATAAAAGATTGATTCACTCAACCTGCTCTACTTCAAAATTATACTGTCACCAAAGAGAAGAAGGAGAGGGGTCATAGGCTGCTTTTAGCCGAGCCTAGGGTTGGGGCCAGAGCACAAACTTCTGCATACAGCCCCTTGCACAATACCAGGCAACAGGCAATAAGAATAAAAATAGACCAATCACAATAGATTATTCTTGTAATAGTCGATTGTGATTGGTCTATTTTTATTCTTATTGCCTGTTGCCTGGCATTGTGCAAGGGGCCTAACACATAATACATAACGCATAAGAGAATCAACCAATTAGTTTTCTTCATTTCCCTCCTCAGGATAGAAATGAAGAAGTCTGATTGGTTGATTCTCTTATGCGTTGTGTATTATGCGTTATGCAGAAGTTTGTGCTCTGGCCTTAAGCCTTATAGGTCTTCTACAATTGGTCTGTTCTTTTTAACTGCACTACTGAACTGGTGCAATAAGTTAAAGTGAGAAAAAATATAGTTGTCTCATTCTAACTTATTGCACTAGTTCCGCAGTGCAGCTAAAAAGAACAGACCATTTAAGCTATTAGTCATAAATTATAACCAAATTGACCACCATTCTTGTAATAGTCGATTGTGATTGGTCCATTTTTATTCTTATTGCTTGTTGCCTAGCATTGTGCAAGAGACCTAAGAATTGGCGAATTATAGTCGATTATTACAAAAATAATTAGCTATAATTGGTCAGTTCTTATGGCTTATAACTTATGACACGTATTGTAGAATGACCTTAAGGCCATTACACACAATGAACGTAAGCAGTAAAGAAACTGACCAATCACAATCAATTATTCTCGTAAGTTTTGAAATGGCGTCCTTAAATTTCGATTGTGATTGATCGATTTGCTTACTGCTTACGTCTTACTGCTTAAGTTCGTTTGTGTGTGATGGCCTTAAGGCTCGTCTACAATAGCTGTAAGAGTAAGGCTGTAAGGCTGTAATGTAAGCTGTCAGCGAATGAAAATATTTCATTTCGTGTCTTGCAACCTTATAGGCCGGTATTCATAGTCAGGTCTTATATTTAAGACCGTCTTAAGTTCATTTTCAGATACCCCATAGCCAATGAAATGATTTGTATAGCATCTGAAAATAAACTTAAGACGGTCTTAAATTTAAGATCCGACTATGAATACCGGCCATAGCCTTATTCTTACAGCTAATGTAGACGAGCCTTTAAAGGCCATTAGTATCTCGTCGGTGCTTTTACCAAACTGCAGTTAATTAATTTTTTTTAGCACCCTGCAAGATTCCAACTAAAACCGCTATAAGAAGAAATAAAAAATGAAGAACAAAGCATGTATTAAGAATTAAAAATTTTATCGAATCTATAAAAATTTACCAGAAGACTTTCCCAATAGAATTATCCTAATATATACATGATCAAAATAACAATATAAATACGCCTTTTTATTATACTAGCAAAATCATTGATGCTACTTTATGATATATAACATGAAATAAATAATAATGATATAAATGAATGTCACAAAACTTTGTACTCTCTTTTTCTCAAGAACTATCTATTTAAAATTGTGTTGAATTCAAACAGAGCATTCAGCGCGAAATTTATGCACTTCCACGTGTCTGAGAGTGCGGTCCTGCAACCGCTACAAATGCTTTGAAGCGTTTCTCTTTCTCGTTCTATTTCTTGGATGCAAGCGAAGAAGAAGAGAGAAGTAAAAACGCTTCGAAGCATTTGTAGCGATTGATGGACCGCACTCTGAGTTATACAACACATCCGTTACGTCATCTGCAGTGCGTTCCGTTTCACCCATATGCGCGTATTTTTTATAGTATACGTGACATAAACTATACATAAATGCGCGCATATGCATGAAACGGAACGCACTCCAAGTTTGTGCCACTGTGCTACATGGCGCGGCGAACTAACCTGCACCTTACATTTGTCGATGATGACGATTTGAAGCATAAGTTGACCCCGCGAATGTGACATGTTGATGTTCCAATTTGTTTATCCGATTAAAGGACATTGACATGCATCATCATCTAAGATACCTACCAATCTGTCGTCATCTCTAGCAGCACGAACTTGATATCTATTTCGAGTTGCACGCCATGCGTTAATCGCTTATTTATAACATCGCTGTGTCGCTTTTTCAGCCGCCGTTTATGAAGTCTCGATACAACGTGCATCGTGAAACGTGTTAAATTTTATTGTTTTCTCTTTGTGTTGTCTGAGTTATGGATGAAATTTGGTTTCATGTTTCTAATAAAATCGAATCGTTGCAGGTAATTTGACTCTTTCGTATGAATATTTTTTGCACGCATAATACTGTATTTTATATAATATTTTTATTTATGAGATCTTCGAATTGAAAAGTTTGCTATTTTATAAGATAAGAATGCTTTCTCACCTTAAATTTAACAATATATTCATCAGACGTTATATGTTTTATTCATAATTTGCACTAATTATGAATTTGTAGAATTTGTAAAAATTATATGTCTACATACATACATATGTATAATATATATTTATTTGTATAAATCTTAATATATTACAAAAAATTTAATATAGTTTCAAGCATCGGTAGCAATTCAAGAAGGACAACAATGGTGTATGCTATGGCTGGCTCAATTCCGTCAATTTATTCAACAACTGTGTAATGAAGAACACACACAGCATGCAAAGGATATTGCACTGCGTGTAGCTACTTCCATACAAAGTAATTGGCAGGATATTCAAATCCAGTTTCATAATACCCAATGGTATACAATAGATTTTTATCGCCAACTTGGAGTCATGTGTGCTAGTAAAGGTATATTAACTGCTATAAGCTATTTTTAATATATTTTCTTGCAACTTTTACTAATCAAATTTACATTTACATCTGCCCAGTATCGAAGAGAGATGTAATGTTTTGCATAACAGGTATAGCTGTTGGCACTGTAGTAGGTTATTATGTGGGAATCAATATGAGTCTGTCTTGCAATGGTCATATGCATATAAAAACTATAACTTGCTATCGTTATGATGGTCTTGAGGTATATCATATATAATTTATCTCTTAAATTTCTTGTACATAGACATTATCTTCCATCATGATTACAGAGTGTGATCATCATGGATGACGTTGAAGTACCAACAGCTGTAAAGCCAAATGAGTTATTGATACAAGTTCATGCCACTTCAGTTAACGTTGTCGATACGAAGATATGTTATGGTTATTCTAGAATTTATAGGAGACTACTTAATTCAGGAGTAAGTAAGCTGTTTCGTAAGTTCAATGTGCAACATATAACATTCGTATGGATATATGTATTTAGAGACAGAAAGGACTACCTGTAACTTTAGGAAGAGATTGCGCGGGGATAGTAGTAGGTGTCGGACGTGATATCATCAACTTTAACGTCGAAGACGAAGTTTTTTTAGCCGTCCCATCGTGGGCTCCTGGCACGATGGCGGAATATATAATCATCCCAGAGATGCAAGTAGCGAAACGGCCTAAATCTTGTAGCTTTATATCCTGCGCTAGTCTGCCATACAATGGCTGCTTGGCATGGGATGCTTTAGTCAATAGATCTGTCATCAAGGAAGGCAACGCCAAAGGAAAGCTGTAATACTCTTAATATTTCTTGTTTCTTTTTGGTAAATTCTCATTTCACTTAGTTGACATTAATGCTGTCTCATTACAGTGTTTTCATTTACGGCGGATGTAGTCCGATCGGTTGTATCCTGACGCAACTGATAAAATTATGGGGTGGTTACGTAATAACCACATGCAAAAAAAAGGCAGTGCCTGTGATGGAGACAATAGGCGCTGACGACGTTATAATTACAGACGAAGATGATATCGAAAAACGTTTGCAGTTATACAAGAGGTATGAAAGTCTAGTACGATTATGAATTTAAGGGACCGAGATTATATGACATTTTTTGATTAATGCCACATCTTTTTCGTAGATTTGACGCGATTTTTTATACCGATAACAATCAGCCGTTTGAAGAACACATTCTGAAAAAGTACTTGAAGCCTAACGGTTCCTACGTCTCTACAGTTCCCGAACAGTTAACGTCGGATTCGTTGGGATTTATATGCGAAAGTATATTTGCAGGATGCGTCAGGATAAAATTGTTGGTTCAGGTATGTTCTAATTCGTCTAAGTATAGAACTACACCAACAAGTCGGATTACTCACACCGAAACATGCTCTCAATTGTAGTACATGTTCGGATTCAACATGCATCAGTGGAAGGAAGGCGCAAAATTGAATGTTGAGTACCTGCGAATCCTGTCTAATTTGGTCAACACAGGCCACTTGCAACCGGTCGTGGGCAGTGTGTACACGCTACACGGTTTCGAACGGGCATTACGTCACGTTTTAGATTCGAACTCAGTCGGTAGTACCATCATAACATTTAAATGATATTTCGTTGTTAATATTAGGAAGTTAACGACATGACTACTCTTCTGTATGATATAATACTATAGCGTGTATAATATTGCCGTGTTATTGCCACATTATCAACGGACATTCACAACGCTGGTGGTAAAGCAGAAGAGATTAATAGGTAGGTAAGAGACACTTGGTGCTGAAACAAAGACTGATAAACATTATGCAGTGAACGAGTAAACTGAATGCGAACGAATACTCTGACCTTTTCTAAATTACTGTCGATAATTGCGCTATTAAGAACAAAGAAATGTTCATGACAATAAAACGTGACAGTAAATAATAGGAAATGACACGCGGGGATTCAATATTGTGAAGATTTTTTTTACAGAAACACGCGCGACAAATTGACTCTTGTCGCTTATTACGATGGAATATATCATGTAAGGAAGTATACATTGTATATGAATATTACACATTATATATTTTACAAAATAAATAGAAGAAATTATAAGTACGACGTTTATCATTTCCGATTCATATAATTCGGCGTAAGAATTTATAAAAATAAATGTGAGAGATACATCTTACGAATTTTAATTTACGAAATTTACGAAATTGGTGCAGTAACTGCAGTGAATTCCCATTGAATTATATGACGTTTTCATTTCGCTTTACCACGGAATTTAACATTAGTGGATGCCTTAACCTTTTTGGCTGACGTCTTTTTCTCTTCTGTCTATATAACAATACATAGAAACATTTAAATATGAAAATAAATCGAGCGATATACAGGGTGCACGATTTATCTGAAGACATTGAAATAGCTCGAGAACTATGCATTGGATAAAAAAAGTGGTTAATGAAAGTTGTTAGTCTCGAAGGGGGACATCCAATGATACCAAACTCGACCTCCCACCCCACCCCCTGGGGGTGGGGGTTGGGGGCAACTTTGAAATCTTAAATGGAAACCCCCATTTTTTATTGCAGATACGGATTCTACGCCACAAAATACGTAAATTTTGTCCGAAACTTTTTTTTTGATTCGTGATAGATGGCGCTGTAATCGCAAAAAATTATATTTTCCGCAATTCTCCAGAAATGATCATTGGATTGAGAAATAAAAAATACCTGTTCAATATTTTTAAAGAACATAATAAAAGTTATTAAAAAGATAAGGTTCATCAACTTAACCTAAAAGATAAGGTTTACCAACAAGTGCCAACAACTCGTGAAAACATGGTAGAACGCATAAGAAACGCTTGCGCTGAAACTCCCGCAGATATGCTTCTATCTTGTGTACAGTCATTTGAAAAAAGGATCAATAAATGTATTGAAGTTGAAGGTAAAAATTTCGAACACTTACTCTAATTAATTGAACAGTGAGAGGCAAGGGGACTCACATTAAAAAAGCACCCCGATCTATGAGAGGCAAGGGGACTCACATTAAAAAAGCACCCGAAGGGAACATAAAACTATTACGTCCTCGTCGTTGTCCCTGTGTAACGCTAAAAGTAGTTTCTCGGAAGAATTCAACGCTATCTATCACGAATGAAACAAATTGTTTCAATAAAAATTTCACGTACAATCTAATTCTGCAATGAAAAATGTGGGTCCCCATTTGAGATTTGAACGTTATCACCCACCCTACCCCGAGAGGATGGGGGGGGAATAACTTTTATTATGTTCTTTAAAAATATTGAACAGATATTTTTTATTTCTCAATCCAATGATCATTTTTGGAGAATTGCGGAAAATATAATTTTTTGCGATTACAGCGCCATCTATCACGAATCAAAAAAAAGTTTCGGACAAAATTTACGTATTTTGTGGCGTAGAATCCGTATCTGCAATAAAAAATGGGAGTTTCCATTTAAGATTTCAAAGTTGCCCCTAACCCCCACCCCCAGGGGGTGGGGTGGGAGGTCGAATTTGGTATCATTGGATGACCCCCTTCGAGACTAACAACTTTCATTAACCCCTTTTTTTTATCCAATGCATAGTTCTCGAGATATTTCAATGTCTTCAGATAAATCGTGCACCCTGTATATATATATATATATACACGCACGATATGTTCGATAAGTGATTTACCTTTCGCTTCGTTGGAGTAGGATTTGGTAAGATTTTAAAGAATGAATCAAGTCTGCCTTGCGTAGACGTGTTCCGAGCTTTGTGAAGTTTTTTAGCGCCATTTCTAACTCGCTCCTCGTTGAACTGCTTGTCACCGCAAAGAAATTTCACCAAATCCTCCTCATCCGGTTCGGACCACTTTAACTTGCGAAGTGAAAAAGTACTTAATATGTTATGAACTTGATAATGCCATATTATTTATACAGGGTGTTTAAAAGCTTATACAGACGAAAGTTGGAGATAGATTGGGTGTAGCCGAGAAGAAAAGTCATGTACCATAATGTCAAATTGGCAATAGTTATCGAGTTATTAATTGAAACATGTGAGCCAATGAGCGCGTAGAGAGCGCTGGGTGGCCGCCTTTTGTCGCTTGCGCTCGCTCGCTCGCTCCTCGTCGCGCGCGCTCGTCTCTTGTCGCTTACGGTTGCCTCTCGCCGCGCGCGCTCGACGCCTATCGACGCTCGTTGACTCCGCCTATACCAAATGTTTACGTGCTTACCGCGGCCGCCCAGCGTTTTCTACGCGCTCATTGGCTCATATGTTTCAATTAACAACTCGATAATTATTGCCAATTTGACATTATGGTACATGACTTTTCCTCTCAGCTACACCCAATTTATCTCCAACTTTCGTCTGTATGATAAGCTTTCAAACACCTTGTATAGAGGAAGACGAGAAATCATTTGATATTTGAATTACCACAATGTCATCAGCATTTGATACTTCTGGCTCTTGAAATAATAATCTTGCCTCCTTGTAATTCCAATCTTCTGGCACAGGAAACTTCTTAGTATCTATATTTTCGATTATTTTCTCAAGAGATTTGTGATTCTTTATTAATTCTATCGCCCTCTTCGGCCCGACGCCTTTGATACTGCCGGTATAATCGCAACCCAACATAATGCAGAGATCAATGAACTGTAAATGATATGCCACATCATAGCAATTGAGAGAAAAAACGCCATTATTGTTGAATAAGAATGCATACCTCATTGTGATTTAACTCCAAACCTCCAAGAACTTTATCAAAATGAATTTCTTGCACAGGCAATTTTCTAGCTTCACTAAAAGTCAAACGGCGAAGCAACACATTACAGCCAAAAGTGAGTGCGTCCATATCCTCTGTAGCAGTAGCAAAGACTTTACCAGCTTTTACTAAAGCAGCACATTGTGCTTCAGCCTCACAAGGAGCCTGTATGAAAGATATTGATTATAATATAATAAAGAAACCAAGATTGAACTCACTTAAGTGCTTACATCAATATAAGGTATCCCCATTAATTTAAGTAATTGTTTAGCTTCTTCAGCATGTGTTTTTGTAACTTTAACTAATCTTCTATTAAATTTGTCTATAGCTTCTGCATCTCCTTTAATCAGAAATATCAGCTATGAGAATCTTCTACGATTTTCTTCGCGAAATATAGTAAATTCAAATCATTTGAAAGATAATTACAGTGGTATTAAAACATATATATTGTAAATAGTTATTACCATCTTCCTCTGCAGCTTGCAAAAGTTTCTGTGCTTCATCTCTTCTCTCAGCTCTCTTAGCTAATTCTCCACCTTTTAGATTTGGAGGTTTTCCATCAAACACATATACAGGCTTTATTCCCTGTTCTACCAAGCGAATGGTACGATAAAATATGCCCATTAAATGACTACCCAACAAAAATGAATCATTGACATTAACATTTGACATTAGTATTTGATTATTCTATAACGTCAATTTGAGATTTATAACAAGAAATCATTGTATAATCATGAAATATACCTGGTTGTTTCACCATCTACAGTAGTCAGCTGAGCTCCTTCGCTACGTACAGCTATGAGAAACTGATATAAGCACATGGACGCATCAATAGCTATTTTGCGACCTGAAGTGCAAAATAAAAAATTTCGATATATTAAACATTAATAATGAAATATATCTAATAGTATAAAATATGTTGGAAAGGATATTGATGAAAAATAAATTATTAATTTATTCCTAACAGTATATTATTAAATATGGAATATAAAAAATACATACCAAAATAATGTTTCAATTCTCTCTCTTTTATAGCTTCTGGAGCTATATCTGCTATTAACTTCGATAATCCTAAAATACCCATATTAGTTCAATGTTTATTATGTATGTAAGAAATATCCCATCACACGGCAGACATCTTCTAACAGACGACTTGCTTTCTCCCGCCAATTTGTGTAGCATGGAATAAAACGATGAGAAATTTCATGTATAATATGAAACTTGAAAATAAAAAGGCGTCTATTTTATTGTCAAGTAAAATTCAATAAGAATTGTAATTTTTCGATAAAAATGATGATAATAAAATAATTAAAAAAACATCATTTAAAAGATAAAGGAGTCTGACTTGTTATTGGTTTCTACTACGATCCGAAATCTTCGATAAGGGCCGGTATTCATAGGCCGTGTTCCAAAATTCACTGCCAGCACTGAAAAGTTATAGTTTGCGTAACACAAACTATATATTTTCAGTACTGGCAGTGAATTTTGGAACATGTCCATAATCGGTATTATGGCTGCGTTCCGAAATTCACCGCCAATACTGAAAATACATAGTTTGTGTCACGTATATTATAGAATTTCAGTGCTGACAGTGATATCGGAACGCAGCCTATATTTAAGACCGTCTTAAGTTTATTTTCAGATGCTGTACAAATTATTTCATTGGCTATAGAATATCTGAAAGTGGAGACTTTGAAACGAATTATCCTCCTCAAAATTTGACGATATTTTATATAGCTAATGACTTCTACACATAGGATGCGGCAGCGCGTCAACACGGCAACGCGTTGACCAATCACAGTCTTTCTTTTACAGTTATATAACTCATATCTCTGGAAAAGAAAGATTGTGATTGGTCAACGCGTTGCCGCGTTGATGCGTTACCGCGTCCTGTGTGTAGAAGCCATAATATGTTTCAAACGTCCAATATTTCTCACTATTATAACTCAGTATAACGAGTAATTAAAAAGTCTATTTTCAAATTTCTATTTGTATGATGAATATAGATGAATTCTCTTTTTATTTTAATTTTCAATACGACAAATAACCCGATAATCGAATTTAAAGAAAAAATAATCGAAAAGGATAATTATCGATTCATTTTTTGATACATACACGTGTTGTAGATCTTAACCTATAAAAAGCATTACATGCTTTTCATTCCAATATATGTTTATTCAGAGCAAAATGAGAAATAATTGTGATTTAATAAAAACTATTGAGGATGATCAAGAGATAACAGATTATTCAGAAAAATCGGACGAAGAAGATGATGTAAGTTAAAGTGAACGTTTCCATTTTTAAACGTTTTTATTTCTTATAATAATACTTTGTTGATAGATACAGATTAGATTTAGTTTAATTTAGGCGTTGATGTTCTCTAAATTTTTATTTTTTTCTTCAACCACAATGTTCTCTAAATTTTTATTTTAGTATCAACCACGAAAACAAAAGAAGAAGGAAAGTAAAGATTTTGATAGTAATTTTCAATTTATAAATAATGTTGCTGAATATAATCAAGATACTTGGAATGATCTAAAAAAATATATTAAACGGAAAGCAACAACAAAACTAGATGACAAAATAAAGAAAATTAGAGAGCAAAGCAACAATCAGGTATGTGCATAGCTACTTTTGCATAGGTGTTTTAATTGCTTGCAAAAATTTAACATCATATTGATTGTTTATTTTTCTATAATAAATTAAAAGCAATCTATTATTAAATAACTTTTAGGTTGGAACAGATGATCTTATTAAAGTTGAAACAGAAGTAGATCAGGATGATGATTCTGTTCTGTTATCTGAAGATGATCTTAAAAAAGGTATATTAAATCTATATAAATATAAATCAAATTTATTTGTGAAATTTCTAGTTTTATATGAAATATAATTTTATATGGAAATATGAATTTTTATTTACATACAAAACATTATATGTTAATTTTATTTATATGTTTTGGTTATGCAATTGCAGATTCTTTTAAAACAAAGGAAAAAAAAGGAAAAAGGAAAAATTCTACTAAAAAGAAGGATGAGGAAACTATTGACTTTGAGGAATGTACAAACTTTGAAACTGATGCTACATTCTATCAGATGAACTTGTCTAGGCCTTTACTAAAAGTATGTAATATATATTATAAGCATATAATATATTATCATATTTTGTTATAAAATAACTATTGAGATAAAAATAAATATATAACAAAATACTAATTATATAATGGTATAATACTGAATAAATTTATGAATTTGCAGGCAATAACAACAATGAATTTTTTGACTCCAACTCCCATACAAGCTGCTACTATTCCAGTAGCCTTAATGGGCCGTGATATATGTGGTTGTGCAGCAACAGGAACTGGCAAGACTGCAGCTTATATGCTTCCAACTTTGGAAAGATTAATGTATAAGCCATTGGATGGGCCTGCTGTCACACGAGTTCTTGTACTTGTACCCACCAGAGAGTTAGGAGTGCAAGTTTATCAAGTAACAAAACAACTGTCTCAATTTACATCAGTAGAAACTGGTTTATCTGTTGGTGGATTAGATGTGAAAGTACAAGTATGTAATTGTTTATTATAAACTTTATAAGTTGTTGAATATAGAACCAGGTAATATCAGTTTTTTTATATGTTTCTCAAATATATTATTGCAGGAGAGTATATTAAGAAGAAATCCAGACATTGTGATAGCAACACCTGGAAGATTGATCGACCATCTAAGAAATACACCTACTTTCTCACTGGATATTATCGAAGTACTAATTTTGGATGAAGCTGATAGGTAAAATAAAAATTTTGAATTATATAACACAATAATAACAAAATATGTATGTATTATATTGACAAAACATCAATATTTTCTTGATTTAAGAATGTTAGATGAATACTTTGCTGAACAAATGAAATATATTGTGAACCAATGCTCAAGAAGTAGACAGACTATGCTTTTCTCTGCTACTATGACTGAAGAAGTCAAAGATCTAGCTGCGGTGTCTCTCGACAAACCTATCAAGATATTTGTAGATAGCAATCAAGACGTAGCTTTCAACTTGCGTCAGGAATTTATTCGGTGAGTAAAAGTTGATTATTATCTTTCATTGCTGAAACTCGCGTTATACGAAAATTATATTCGCAGTATACGTAAAGAGAGAGAAGGAGATCGCGAGGCAATATTAGCGGCCTTAATCTGCCGAACTTTTCACGATCACGTTATGGTTTTTGTACAAACGAAAAAACAAGCACACAGATTGCATATTTTATTAGGACTATTGGGAGTAAAAGTAAGTAAATTATTATAAGTAGTATTTATAATAGTCGGCAGTACTGTATTAAATAATTTATGTATTTAATAATTAGTGGGACAATTTGCATTGATTTCGTTTTTATTAATATTCTAAAGGTTGGGGAGCTTCATGGCAATCTCACGCAGCCACAACGATTAGAAAATCTGCAGGAATTTAAGGATGAAATAATCAACATTTTGATAGCAACCGACGTTGCTGCAAGAGGTTTGGATATAAGTGGTGTAAAGACTGTTATTAACTTTGTGATGCCTGCTACTCTTCAACATTATATACATAGGTACAATCATTGAAAATTTTAACCAAGGCATTCTCATGTACATATTGGAGCTTATAAAGAATATTTATATCTGTTATTATATTAGAGTCGGGAGAACTGCGAGAGCAGGACGTGTGGGTGTTTCTGTATCGTTAGCCGGCGAACAGGAACGTTCATTAGTGAAGGAAGTTATCAAACGAGCAAAGAATCCAGTGAAGAATAGGATAATACCACCGGATATAATAGAAAAATATAATAAAAAGTTACAATCTCTGGAGATAGACGTGGAAAAGATATTGCAAGAGGAAAAGAGCGAGAGAGAACTAGCCAAAATTGAGAATCAGGCGAATCGTGCTGAGAATCTACTCAAAGATGTAGAGGAGAGGAATCATCGAAGTTGGTTCCAATCTAAGAAGGAAAGAAGGATGGAGAAAGGTGATGTGTTGTAACGTTTTTATTATGATATAATATTACACACTTCCATAGTACAGTAATGTGCAATTGTGAATTGACCAATGATCTTGTGCATCTACAGAAAATCTTCGATTAACCGAGAGACCGACTAATAAGAAAAAAGACCGCGAAAAAGAACCTATTAATATAGTGGAAGATAAAAAGAAGAAGGCACAAAATGAACCTAAAAAAGATACAGCTGAAGATAGAGCCAAAAGAGAATTAGACAAGATTGCCGCTTATCAAGCGCGTTTGGCTAAGAGGAAAAACAAGCCAAAGAAGATTAAAACAATTATGGATGAGAGTAACCGTGATTTCTCTAGGAAAGGTATAGCTTTTCGTATTGTTTAATGACATCGAAAGAACTGCTAATTCCAATACGATTTATGTTATTTCAGGATCACTGAAACGATCGAGATCATCTTTCGTCGACGATTTAACCGACACGAGCAAGAAAAATGTTAAAAGAATGCGTTATGAGTAAGTATACTCAAATATGTATGTACTTCTAGAGACTATCTTTTAATAAACCTGTGAAAGATATGGTATAATATAATTTCCGTTTTTTCTTATTACAGAGCAAACACTAGGAATAAAAATGCGCAACGTAAAAATAAGCCCACAAGGGGAAAGGCCAACAAAAAATCACTTAAAAGACGTTAACTTTGTAATATAACTTAATTATATATTGTTATGAATACATGTAAGACAGATTACTTAATTTGTGTTTTCTTTTTTTATTATAGAACCATTACAATACGCCATACGTCTCACAGATTGACAGATGAATAGCACTGATTAATTGATTGTTTAATCAGATTATGTATACTTTTCATAGTCTATGACCTGTTTGAGAAAATTGCAGTACCATGCCGAGATCGTATACATTCGCAAAAATATCACTTTAACAGTATCAATGCTAATGAAAGAAACTTAATACTTGATAAATAGTATATATAAGTTAAATAATACGATATATTATTAAATTAATCATATATCTAATGATAATGGGCAGGAAATTATTAAATACATACATACATACATGTGTATATGTATGTGTGTGTGTGTGTGTATTAAATTTAGAAAAAAAAATTATGCAAAGTTTCAACGTGCATTGTACTGTAATTTCTATGAAGAGGTAACAGGTATATGTTAATTCTATAATAATATTTACGTAATTTCACTCATCCATCATCATTCATGAATTCATGCTCAATCTTCATTCACATCTCTTCGAATTTAATATAGTTGAATGTATAAGTTTAATAATCTTAATGCTGAAAATCGAGAAATCAACTTTAGAACCTAGGCCCATATTTTAATTATTTAAAACTCTGTTCAAATTCGTACCCAAAAGTCTCTTCTACCTTTTTCGGTTATCATACGTTATGCTTATATAGTATATGTTTACATTCTTAATAAATAAAAGTCAAATAACGTGTTTCTGTGTAAAAAGGTTGTAAGAATTACACATATTTATCAATATAAATTGAGGTGTTACACAATGATCTCTTGCAGACGACATACAATTTTAATTTTATGTTTATTTATAAATACAAAAGTGTCGATGGTTTCCGCAAATTATCGCAATTTTCGTTTCTATCGTTACACACAGATCCTATTCGATTTGCAATGAGAAATCAACGTGATGAAGTAGCGACAGTATGTATAAATATTACTTATTTATAAACGAAAATTGCTTATTACCGTTATAATGTAACATCAATATATTCATATATAAAGTACACGGGAACATTAAAGCTGTTCTCATGTGTGACCAATGATTGATTTCGAAAAATTCTTATATATTTTATAAATTTAGACACACAACACACACACTTAATCTCTGATTAGGCGAGCGTAATAAAAATACACCAAAGTATTTCAGCCGATCATATCTTGTTAAGATTCTGTAGGGACAATATTTCATTAATTAATTGCAGGTATAGAAGAATTTTGGATACAAATTCGAATCAAACAATTATACAATCTTACGATAAGAGAATAGTGAGTCAGTGTAAATTGAGATAGAAGATATTAACGGCAACGTGCGTGGAAAAGAAAAGTTATTTCAAGCATTCAGACTTCGATTAATTTTTATAGAACACCAGTTTGATTTAATATCGATTCCGTGACGATGCATTTCTTATGTATAAGAAGAGAGACTGTCTATTAAAATTATTGTCTATTAAAATTTTTGTGCAAAAAAAAAATCATTCAATGCGAATCAATCAAATCTACGTTAAATTCGCTAGAAAATGAAACAAAACATAACTTTAAGTAAATACTTGCAGAAATTACATCATTCAGTTGGAAGTTATGGTCTTATCGTCAAATTTATAAATACGTTTCTCTTGACAAAGTGACTGTGTCCATATAAATTCTGGTAATAATCACGGCTAAAGACTATGGTGATAATGATAATACTCATATTATTAAAAATCAACCATCTCGGATCATAAATGTGACAGTCACACAATTTTTAATCTAATATGTATCGTTCACGCAACAAAACTAGTATCCTTTGCAGTTTATAAAGTGACGATATATTCGATACATCTGGATATATTTCTCTTGAAGAAAAAAAATGGATTTGCTTTATTCATTTGTCAATGAAGTATGTTGACAATATTGTTATGTATATATATATTTATTTATTTATATATATATATATATGCTTGCTGTCTCTAAACTGAATGCTATTTTTTTTATTAGCAAAACAACGACGCGACAGCATTCATCAGAAATTTGCGAAGTGAAGACATAAAAAAGATCCTTTTATCCATTTTATATAGTGTAAAAGTGAACAATATAATGATCAAATGCCACTCGAATAAGAGTTCCAATTCAAGGAATCCATATATGTACTTTGTAAAAAATGTCCACTCCGACTACACGACTATCCGAAAAAATTCGTCATTAGTTATGTGATGCGTCGTATAATTCATAGAAATAATAGGAAATATACGCATTCGTATATTTCAATTTTGATATAACGAAATAAACGCATTCGCAGGTCCATATGTTCTCAGCGAGAAATTAACAGACTCTTTGTCCTTTTTCTTTGCGTTTTTCCGTTTTACCCACAAGTTGCAAGTCCGTTGGACTTTCTGGATTGTAAGCCTACACGCATTAATTATCATCTGACATTACTGTCATAATCTTAACATCTTATACTCTAGAAATACACGAACGACTTAGGTTTATTAATTGTACATAACCAAAATATTCTGTTTTCTAATTTGTAAAGTATCTTTTAGATTCTTTAATTTTTCTCATCTTCGCACTTTTTATGTCTTTCCCTATCCCATTATCCCCAGCGTATAATATTTCAATCACTGAATTATTTATTTACTTTGTCCGACTCTCTTAATGCCCTTTTTGCCGGTGGTTCCTCGATCTGAAATGCGAAGAGGCGAAAAATTAGAAACATTGCAGTCGTATTACTGAGAAAATTTAGAAGTTAGGAGATTAATCTACCTCTTCTTCCAAGCCAGGTAGCTGAATTCTGGTTTCTGATGCTTCAGCAGGCTGCAAATATATATTTAACTGAATGAACCAACCAACATATTTTATGCATTTGTGCACTCCAATAATAGCATGTTTAAAAGGAAAATCTTTTAAAGACGCGTGTAACATTATATTCTAACACTACATTAAAGAGATGTTACCTGTGCATCGATACATTCCACTTCTCCAACTTGTAGCTTGAAATCATAGTTATATACACGCGAAGAATTAAATAATATCGATATTACTTAAATAATAATTTTAGTGATATTAATATAAATAAGAAATAAACTCAATGAATTACCCAAGGATCATAATAATATTGTTCCGAACATCAACTTACCCTTGCATCTGTTTCGTTAGGTCCGATCCCTACTTCCTTCTGTTGTTTGGACTTGGTCCTGCGTTGTGGTCTGTCGCTGACTGAATGTGTATTGTGGAATGATCCCTTCCCCTTTGCAGTCGTCATGTTCACTTGTAGTTCCGTGGGTAAGTAATTTTTGGTGTTGCTCAGCATCTCGTCCGCCGTACGTTTGAAGTACATCGTGGGAATTCGCGTCTCACTAGGAAACTCCTTCATGTCGAAATTGGTGGTCTTCGTATATATTACGTTCATGGCCAAATCACAGACGGCCCACAATTTCTGTACAATAAAAACGAAAGTCATTGACGCAAATAATCGCTCGCGAATAGTCGAAGCTATTTAATTTCTGATAATTACGTAGTTCATGTCGTTGTCCTCGGGTTTCAATGCGTCTTTGTGACTCTTCATACGTTCCACGAGATTTTTGTAAAATCCGTAGCAATAATACTCGTTTTTCGTGATAAGAGGTTCTAGTATGAACCAAAGACATTGTTGAATGATCTTTAACTGGCTCACCATAGTGTGACTCGTGAATTCGGGGTCATGTGCAAGGATAGGTACCGCAAAAACCAGCATATAATCTGGCAAAATATGGGGCAATTGACCTGCAAAATAACGAAGCAACGAAATGAATTCTCAATTTGCAATTATGAAAGTATTGTTTGTGTCTTAATTATTTTTTATTTTTTATTATTGATTTATTTACCCATGGCCCGTTCAACGGTACCCAAGGAGAGTGTTTTCACATAATCCCTTCTTTTGTTTATGTCTGTTTGCATATAAGTTTTCAATACACACTTTAATCTTTTATCCTGTTCCTTGCCAGCTAAGGCGTAATATCCCATGAAATCTAGTGGCAGGCATTTGTTCGGAATTCCTCTTCCAAGGCCTTTGTGCAATTTGCTGCCGAAAGCTTCCCTAACTTGGGAAACTTCATCCTGAAATTACCAAGCCAATATTTAATCCTCGTACATGAACATATTAAAATTATTATATCGCATATGACAAAGAAAAAAATACTATCTTTAACATACCACCATAAGTTGTGAAAGATTATAAAATTGTTCCGCGGTGAACTGATCGCCGACGCCTTTCTGCTCGCATATCTTCAACATCGAACAACCCGCTTGCAATCGCAGCCAACTCATTTCAGCCTTGCTGAGACGTCCCTGCTGCAGCAGATCTCCCTTGTTCACCACGAAGGCATTCAGCATTCTAAACGTCTTTTGCGCTGATAGCACGTCAGTTTTCAGTCCTAGCAACCAGCGCGCCATGCACTTCAACCCTTCCAATCTGCATCGTGTTTCCTCGGGCAATTGATCCTCCCTGCACCAATCTCCATCGATAGCGACGGCGTTTTGTTCGCTGCTCTCCTTCACTAGTAACTCTTTAACTATCTGCGGGAGAAATTCATCGTGAAAATGTGCTAAGCGCAATGACAATATGCCGAAAATATTAAGGAGAATATATATAGAGTGTATTATTGTGTACTTACTTTTCTGGAGACCATATTCTTTATTTGTACTTGATATTTCTCTGGCAAATTATACGCTATGTGACCTAACGTGACTATAGACGTTCGATAGTACTCCGACGTTGGCGTCAGAGTGTTCTTAATTCTCTCGATGATCTCAGGGAAAATTGTGTCGTGTATGTTGGTCATGTTAACGAACAAACATCGCACAGCCTGCTTCGCCTGCTTCGGCGTGCCCGTTTCAGCGAAGGTTTTGCATATCGGCACCATGAGATTCATGATGTCCGGTGCTACGTCGCATAAAGGTTTGTATTTGCCCAGGAACGTGAAAATGGAGAGAACCAACGGTCCCACCATCTCGTCTTCTAACTCGAGCAGATGGACTAGTTGCATGAGTATATCGTTGTGCAGGAAATGCGGGCCAAATACAAATGAAAGCATCTGAAATATTTCGGTTAGAGTATCTAAGCTTCTCCTGCAGTTAAATGCTAATTGTTTTCAATAAGTTTACAATTGGTCTTAGTGATGAATTTGCCTTAACATTTAGCTTTGGAATACGAATGTGACTTACCACAAGTAATCTTAGTCCCTTTTCCCCAGCATTGTTCGGATTGAGACCAACCTCTTCTATCACGTTGCCTCCTTTCAAACAGTCCAAGACGTACCCGATCAAAACCTAATTCGATCATATACATATGAACATTAATAAACATTACTTCGCAAATGATGCACATAAAACTGTTCTTGAAACTGTTTCTTAAAATAAAATACTTACTCGAATCGCTTCTTCGTCAATCATGACGGAACTTACTCTCTCGAGCAGCATTTTAATCGTATTGTAGTACAAATTAGTCATAACGGGCTGTCCCAACTTTTTAAGCACCATACTTATTGTGTCGGCGCATTCCTTGCAAGAAACGTTCGGTTGCACGATTGTTTCCATCCCTTGCAACAAAATGGTGTCCTTCCTCATGTGAATGCTAAACTTCTGAAGGAATTCTTGCACCTTCGTGGGGTCTGGCAAGAAGCGCGATATTTGATGAACCTTCGTTACCAGCTCGTTCGTAATATCCGATTTCTTCACAATATCTAACCACTCGACCACTGCTCTTCGTACACTAAAGTATACACGATGATAAATAACAATTTGATGATTATAACAAAAAACCTTTATGATAACCGTAAGAAAAGAGATATATGCAAACACATACGCAAGCTGATGCTTCTGAAGTTCCACGAAAGCTTTAGAAGCGTGATCATCGATTGTACCTAAGAGATGGTATAATTTTTTCATTCTCTCTTCAGCTGGAAGCTGATAAGGTACTAGACATGTGTTCAGCAGTCTCTCTACTAATAGTCTGTCTTCCATGCCTGCCATATAATAGCCATGCAATATTTTATCTTTTATCCAGGTTACCGCCTTCTTCGTGGCTTGCGGTACATCCGCATCGTTCAGATGTTTCTTGTATATCATTGCCAGACCAGACATTGCTTCTTTTCGTATTTTGAACTAAAAAAATATATGTATATACGTATAATAGTTGATAAACATATTGATATTATGTAATTAAATGAATGACCGATGAGGCTCAATGTTCTACCTTTTTATCTAGAGTCCTTTCCTTAACAAATTCAAGCAAATCCTCACTGTCGGAGACAACTTCAAAATCTTTCCTGGCAGTTGTCACTATAGCCATAACTACTTCATAGCGGACGCTCTCATCGGCATCGTGCTGCCTCATCTTCAGAGTTTCCGTGATATCCTTCCTCAATTCAGGATGATTTAGTAAGAAATGCATCGAATACTGTACGCACTTAATACGTATGGATACGCTGATATCGTTGAATCGTCCCAGAAACGCCCTCCACAACTGAGTGTACTGTACTGCTAATTGCGAACCTTTCTCAGAGAACATTCTCGCAAGTAATGCCACAGCGCCTAATCTCTCAGTCTCGGAAGAAGATTTCAGTTTACATTCTAGCTGTGGCAGGACGGACAGCAAGACACTCGGACATATGTGATTCAACTCGTAAATCAGGTCGTATACCTTCTTGCAAATTTGCAAATTCTTCTCTTCCTTGCCCAGAATCAAGACATGATTGAAAAACTATAAAATGTAAAGAATGACATCAGATATCAGAATCAAAAATTCGTATTTTTAGTACGTTCCTTAGCTTCTTTAGAAGAATCTTTGATACTCTCTAACTACTCACCGCTTGTATATATGGTTCTAATGTATCACTACACTTGATTACCAGCTCTTTAGCGAGCAAATACGCATTCTTCTTCTGTGTCTTATTTGGCTCTACAATGTTCATTAATATGATATCTAAAAGTTCATTACTGACAATGTCCGATTCGGTAATCAGTGGACATAAAACGTCCAACATGAAGCTTTTAACTTTGCCAGAATGTTCATCGCTAGATATATAATAATAATTATGTAGTATTGTGAAAATCTTAGTAATAATATATAATGTTAAATCTTAGTAATAATATATAATATATATACAATATAATATATATTGTTCTTCTTTATTCTTAAATTATACTCACTTGACTATTCTAAACATGAGGGAAAACAGTGCACAGAAGATCTCTTGGCAATCTTCTAACTCAAAACACATGTTGAATGATTTTACATAAGCTAAATTCTCAAGCAGATAGAAATACCTCTTGAAAGCAGGATCTTTCGGGTCTTTCAAACCCGCTAGTTGTTTAATAAGAAATAGAAATATTGTTTTGACCTAAAAATATCGTATCAAGAGTGTTAATATTAAATTGATCAAACCAAATAATAATTCTTACTAGATTCATCTATAAATAATAAATCGTTTCAACTGTAATTATAATTCAAATTATTACCTGATCGGCATCTTTGTAAGGAGCTTCTGGAGCATATACTCTTAAAACATCCGCGATGCAGCAGGCAATAAGCAGTTGCACATCTTTGCTCTGATGCATAAGGAAGTGTTCCTCTGCCAAATGTAACGCAAGTGGAATGTATTGCTGGTACATTCCCTCATCTTGTCCCATAGCTTGTAGTGTATGTGCTAGTGTCTGGATATTTATTACATTTTATTGTATTTTGCACATAATACATATATTTACTATATATGAATAACATGCTTTTATTATACCTTAAGTCTTCTGATCAATTCATCTGGACCTAAATCTTCAGTAACTGATCTACACCCTTGTGGGTATACAATTTCCGACATAGTGGCGGCTATGTTAACCAACCAAATGTAACAAATATTTTATCCTTAATATATTCTAAAACACAGTCCAAATTCTGCAACATGAGAATATCTATTAACACATATAATTTTGTATAGTATTGTATAGTATAGTTTTGTATTATACTATTGTGTAAAGAAAAACATTTTTATCATGCATGATTGATTTTTCTCAGTAGTATTTACTTTATAAGTAGTTAATAAAATCTATATCAAGTAATGAATCAATGATATGTTATCCCATATACATACAATTTCTAAAAACAATCTTATTTCAGACAAGTTATATATTTACAAAAAATATATAGTATGTATAAATTTATATAAGATTATAAGATTGATATATTACATATATTTTAAATTGCTATAAAACATATAACAAGTCATAAATTATACAACATATTCAATACAGAAAGTCACATCTTTTGTAACAATAAAAGTTAAGGTAAGGCAATTCTCATTATGTTTCTTAGAAATAGAAGTTGGTAAATATATAGATTATGATTTAATATATTTTAGAAGAAAAACATCAATGTGGCAATAACATAAACACTAAAGCAGACGATATCTGACAAAAAAAGCTATGACTTTTCTGCAGAATAGAAAAATCTCTTCAACACATCCAACATATTTTGCATAAGATATTAAAATAAGCATACATTTCATTTTGTGAATACTCAAGCGGCATACTAACGAAATAAAACGCTGAATTCAATTGAATGTCATACCAATGTGTTAACAGGTGTACTAATTATTAGGGGACCGTACGACCGTTGATCCCACAGCTTCGAGGTTATGTGCATTCGCCGTGCACGTATACAAGCCACGACGTAAACAAAATTCACGCGTAACGATGTTCATGAGAGACTTTTGGGGACGAAAATGTCGCGCCGGGACAAGGAACGAGCTGTATTATCGTGCTCGAACATTACCTCGAGATATGCATAAGCACCGCAGGGCCCGTGGCACTCAAAATATCAATAAAGCAAATATATCCGATGAGAGTGCACAACACTGTAAGTCGTTTCTTTCGAGATACACACGGGCGACCAGCCCCCAGCTTTCAATTTCGTGATATACTAAGTGCGCGCGTATCGCCTACGACGTAATTTGCGTGATTTTCTGTAAACACTTGGCATGGTAAGACGACTTGGACGTCAACGATGAAACGGTGGTGAAATAGTCCCTCGTAAGCGGTTAAGCGTGTCAAAGGACGCGACAGCGCAATCCGATCGCCTGAAGTTACCCGCGTACCGCGACGACTATGGCGATGCGACGCGACAAATTTGATTGGTGGACGCCACGTCGTGTTGTATAGCGTCGTATACCATGAAGTTCATCACTATTCCTCCTAAAGTCATCTCGAAATCGAAGTTTTTATTATGTATTCTCATGAATCGCCATGTTGTCGTCGCTCGAACAACGAAATATTTTTTAACACATATTTCGCGTTAAATTAGAATATTTGTAGATATGTGTTTCTAAAGACTATATCGTTTGCTATTTTCTTACATTGGTCCATGTTCTTGACAAATGTCGCATACGATATTTCACGAATGTCACTAGATATCACGATTCTCACAATTTTTCACTTCACAATTTAATTGGCTGAGAATCGTGATATCTAGTGACATTCATGAAATATCATATGCGACATTTGTCAAGAATACGGGCTCTGTTTTATTTTTTTCTCACACATCTATTTTATTGTAAAATTCATACATTGTAGAATTCATCCGACATTTAACATATGACATCTAATATTCAATAGCAGAATTAGATTTTTCGAGACAAAAATATTGCAAACTAGAATTAGAAAGTAAATTTTGAATTAGAAATCGGATATTATATGTCGGTGTCGTGCTTAAGCCAGCTGCACACGGTGCTTATTTTCATGCTGGATTGCTTGCTAGATGAAAATATCGCGTTCTGATTGGTGCATTTTCATCCATCTTCGAAAATGTACCAATCGAAACGCAGTATTTTCATCCAACAAGCAATCCAACACGAAAACAAGCATCGTGTGCTGCTGGCTTAAAGCCTGTATCAGATTTTGGATTGAGATTGAGATTGGATTGAAATTTGACCAATTGGAAAAGAGAAAATAATCTCAAATAAAAAACTTAGCCCTGATTGATTAAATTTCAATCCAATACTCAATCCCAATCCGTAGTCTGGTACGGGCTTTAAACAAAACATATGTAGAAAATTCCGACATGTTATCACATTCGTTATTATTAGCTTCGTATTCATCTAAATCAATCCTCTTCCTCTCTGCAACAAAGAAATATATAAATTATTCATTCACTAATATAAATTGCATATAATAAGCAATATAATTCATACTTCTTTGCAATTCTTTGTACTGCAAAATATCTGATGAAACGATTGCAAACTTTTTTTGTTAGGAGAAAGGATTCTTGAGGATTAGAAATTTTTCCGTTTTGCTTCCGTTCCGTTTTAGTTCCGTGCTTTGGGGAACTAACCCATCAAAACCGGAACGAAATTAAAGCGGAGTTACTCTGATTGGCTACCTTCCACCATATCTCTTTTTCGTAACTGTTCCGGGTATCTATTATGGAATTCGTCGAAATCGATTCCGATCGAATTTATTCTGTTATTTCCTAGATTTCTATTGTCTTTTCTAAGGGAAACGGAATTATTCCGATCGGAATCGATTCCGACGAGTTCCATGATAGGTACCCCGTTTCGTACTCCATCGGGATGCACCCTAATAAGGGATGTGTTCCGATATTGGGGAGTTTTTGCAATACAGTCTCTCAGATACGGTAAACGTAAATCATGAATGCTATTGATCGTGCACATTGCGACGGTATTTCTGAGCGAATAACATTCACGATTTACGTTTACCGTATCTGAGGGACGGTATTGCAAAAACTCTCTATTAAGCCAGCGGCACACGGTGTTTGTTTTCGTGCTGAATAGCTTGCTGGATAAAAATACTGCGTTCTGATTGGTGAATTTCCATCCATCTTCGGAAATGTACCAATCACAACGCAATATTTTCATCCAGCAAGCAATCCAACACGAAAACAAGCATCGTGTGCCGCTGGCTTTACAAAAACTCCCTATTTTCTTGTACTTTGAGTACAGAAAATGCGACATAAAGTACAGGCTACTTTAACCGGAAATATACCGTTGTTGGATATATCTTACCTCCCTTAGGTTTGCACGTGGAACGTCGTTGTACGAACTGGTTCAGCGCTGGTCAGTTTTGCTTGATATAAATTGATCATCTCGACCAGGACAACAATTTATCATGGTAAATAGATAATTTAACATTAGAAGACATTTTGAGAATTTATTTTTCTTTAGTAGTAGTAATAATATATTTGCAATATATTGGAGAAATCACCTTGAATACTAGATTAGGTTAGATATTGTCACATCAGGATGCTCTCAGTTTCAATTGAAATTTTCCATATGAATATTATGGTAATGTGGTTTAATGCTTTTCGTATTCCATAGGCGAGTACCAAGGTTGATAATCCTGAAAAACCAGGTCAGGAAGTCGCCCCGATTCATCGAATTAGAATTACGCTTACGTCGCGTAATGTTCGTTCCCTCGAGAAAGGTAATATGGATTTGAAAAATAATCATCTTTATTAGATATTAAGACAAAACTCGTTCACAAACTAAAACTTGTTCCAATTTTAGTGAAAGGTTTAACGTAATAAAGATCTTAATATTTTCTTTTCCTATTTCAGTATGCTCGGAATTGATCAATGGGGCCAAGAAGCAGAAACTGAAGGTTAAAGGACCCGTTCGCATGCCTACTAAAGTTTTGAGAATAACAACTCGTAAAACACCTTGTGGTGAAGGTTCGAAGACATGGGATCGGTTCCAGATGCGAATTCACAAAAGAGTTATTGATTTGTATTCACCATCAGAGATTGTGAAACAAATCACGAGCATTTCCATTGAGCCTGGTGTAGAGGTAGAGGTGACGATTGCTAACGAATAGATAATTTTTATTGAAACTGTAAAGATGTTTTAATAAAAATGTAAAAGAACTATAAGTATTTTTTTATCAGAATACCACAAAAGCAATATTGGATATAAAATAATTTAAAACAGCATTTGAAGTATCTTATATTAAGAGCATAAGAATGTCCTTGTTTATTACACATTAAATTGGTAAAAAATTCCGAATCTATGGAAATTACAATAAATCTTTAATTTTTTAAATTAAATTTTTAATATCTTATATTAGACTGAATATATGTGATGACGAGATTCATTAAAGTAACTGTTAATGAATAAAACCGTGTAAATATCTGGCTGTCAATTAAATTTATATTTTATTTGTGTATATATATATATATATGTGTATATATATATATATATTTATAAATTTTCAATTTTCTTCTTGTGACACGTCTCTGAATTTGTCATTCTGTTCAGCTCCTTCGCCACCACTAAAATCACCATCTATTCCTTCCACTTCTTCTTCATCATCATCACCAGCAACTTCTGCATTTTCTAGTTCAGCTCGTTCCATTTGTCGCGCCAATTCTGCTTCATCTGTAGCAGTGACTACTTTTGGCTAAAATATTAAAAGAAAAATAAATTACCATTTGGCATACAAAGCAGACAGACATATTTATTCATGATACTTACTGCCATTTGAATGTTGAATACACCTCCGAGCGACGTAATCTTATCTCGGATTACTTCGATCGCGTCATTTAATGCTTTCAGGCCATCTTGTTTTTCCGGGGTCGATGTCGTCATAACTAAAATATGATACAATAGAATATTGTAATTTTGAATAAAATATATGAGAAATAAAATTTGTACATATATATATATATATATATATATACCATATAAGGGTGGAGCAATTAAGTTAATTTTGATAGGAAGTTCTTCAGTAGAGAGAGCCAAGCCAGATTTCAATGCAGCTTTAACAGCATCAATTCCTTCATAACCATAACATGCTACTTCTACATCAGCTCTGATTTTCACTGCTTGGGAGGTAAGTTTCCGTTTAATATTATTTAATAACACTTCCTTTGTATGCTCATCAAGACCACATTCTGCTAAAATGGAAGGATCCCTAAAATTTGACAGATTCAGAAATGTTATTGTATATACGTTCACATACACAGATATATTTAATTAATATAATTATTTCTAAATGTTCTGACCACTTTATATCATGCAATTTTTAATTTCCCTTACAATACTGATTGTTTGAAGAAATCATAAGCGGATGCTTTTTGTTTTTTGTATTTCTCCTCAAAGTACCACGCTGTTTTCTGATACAGTTCTTCTAATTGATCATCACTATCATAGTGTAGCAATTCTGCCACATGTCTCAAAATTGAGTTAACAGCTTTAGCTTTAGCATATCTTTCTGTGCACTTCTCCACATCCTCAGCAGATACACGACGTTTACTCAGATCAATGTAACCTGAAATTCATAATTTACATATAAACAAATTATATACAAGCAAGTTGAATTATATAGATCCATTTATATATTACCTTTTTCTTTATCTACTCGAATAACTACAACTGGTTCAGTTTTGCCTACTCTAATAAGTTTATTGATAGATCTAATACGTCTCCTAGACAATTCAGAAAGCAATATCATGCCCTCAATGTTGTTATATTCCAATAGATGTACATAAGCACCCATTTCAGCTATACTGCGTACATTTACCATTACTACATCTTCTACTTCTGGATACTTCTCTTTGTAAAATCGACATGACAGCACCATGTTTGCTGGGAATATACAAAGCCTTATGTTAACATATTGATATGTAGTATTGGAAACAATACTATAAACATTTAATATAGAGAATATACATGTTATTTAAAAGTATACAGATGGCAATTGCAAAAGATAGAAAGAAGCTCACTTCTTGAGGTATTTATGTATAAAAATAAGATCTTTATAGGTTAACTCACTAGGTTAGTATTTTGAAGGTTGGGAGGAAATAATGGTACTATAACGATAATCGTCTAAATAAGTATAATTTAGTAACAATTAAGTCTTCCGTTTATCTTACAACGACTGAGTACATATAAAAACGTATGAATCTGCACGTGACTAATCAGTAATAAACCATGCGCAACTATATCCTTGTTTTAATTAACGTACCGGTGGTAGTAATTGTGAAAGTACATATGTGGTCTGTTCTTTTTAGCTGCACTGAGGAACTAGTGCAATAAGTTAGAATGAGACAACTATATTTTTTCTCACTTTAACTTATTGCAACAGTTCAGTAGTGCAGCTAAAACGAACAGACCAACAGGCTGCGTTCCTATATTCACTGCTAATACTCAAAATATATAGTTTGTGTCACATATACTATAGATTTTCAGTGTTGACAGTGGCTGCGTTCCGATATTCACTGCCAGTACTGAAAATATATAGAAAATATATTTTGTGTCACGTATATTATAGATTTTCAATGCTAACAGTAAATATCGGAACGCAGCCAGTGAATATCGGAACACAACCTATGGCAAGAGCCATATTTGTTCCGGAAATTTTGGTTCTAGTTATAAAGTTGGTAAGCCTTGAACTAACTTATAGCAAATTCGGGCCATTTTCCTGCGAGAAATGCTGTTACCCAAAAAGATTTTATGAGCTAAGAATTATCTAAGATGTTGTAGATAATAAAGCCAATAAAACACTAGTTTTTTTCCGTCAAGATTGCAAGAAGTGCAAGATAATACAAACAAAATGAGCAGATATAATTATTATATAAGTTTGATAAAAAAGTTCAAAATTATTTTTTTATTAATTTAATAGTCATTTATTTTTAAACTTTATGTCCAATTTGTCGATGTACGTAATGCACTTACAATTATTAATTTGTTAGATATAATTATTTGTTAGATATAATTATTAATTTGTTAGATATAATTACGAATCATGTTTGTTTCATTTCTCTATTCCAAGATAAATTTAAATTACTCGCAAAAGAAAATCACTTGTAGAAAAAAATTATAAACTTTTAAAAAACATTGAAACATATATATGAAAATTTATATATTACTTACCAGGTATTGCCTTTTCTGATTATCATTTATTCAGATCGATACGGTAGGGCTTGTTTGATTAAAACTTCTCGAAAAATATCGCGGATGTGTAAAAATAGATCGATGAATGGATCGCCTTAAAAAATTACTCTTTTCAATGTGATATTCGTATATTACTAAAAGGATGGAAAAAAAATCGTAGAGAACGAAAGAAAACTTTGATTTGTGTTATATCGTTTTATTTCAATAAAAGAATATTATAAAATATTGATAAAAACTTATGCATTGATCTAATATTTTGAAATTTCTCAAACTTATGGGGATTCGAAAAGGAGTCAAAAGAAAAATGGAAATATCCATAATTAACAATTCTATCTTTGCTTCCATAATTCTAAGAGAAATTCCATAATTTTAAGATAAGAGAAATATCGTAGTCATTGTTTAATTTATTTTGTTAAACATTAACTAAAAAAAGAAAATTAGAAGAGGACGGCAAATTTTTACGAAAAATTTGATTTTTCTAATCAAACAAGTTGATTCCATTGATTCTACATTTTTTTAATATTTCAACAGATATTTTTTTCGTAATGTATTAATATTTAAATTTTTTAAAAGTGTGACAATTAATATTAAATGGACGAAATTATTGCCTCAATAAGAAATTCTCTAATTTAATAACAATCCTCTAATTCAATAACAAACATTCTATGGGAAAACAGGTATTGCTGTATCAAACATGAATGACTATGAATTTAAAAACAAAGTCTTATTTATGTATAAACAATAATATTCTATTTTCATGCATACTATTAACTCTTACTTACATGTATAATAATTAAGTATTAGATTTTTTATATTTATATGCATGAAATATCTTTTGTTAAAATTTTGTACATTTCAGAATTAATAAGTTTAACTTGTCACAATAAATTTTTTACTAGAACCAATACACCAGATTATATAATTTCTTTTTAATATGATTTACAAATTTTGCTATTGCCTTCATATTTACATTCGAAAAAGACTGATATATGAAATACATATAAGGTTGTACAAAGTGTATTCCAAAAATTAATTAAAATGAAATTATGTAACACAAATCGTTGATGTCGAAAATTTATCAACTAAAACCTGAAACAATAAAATGTACATCAAATGCATAATTAGAAAAAAAAAGAATATATATGTAACAAACAATACTAAAAAAATAAATTAATAAAGATTTAATAACTTAAAATATATATTTTGTTTCCGAATGATTTAAACATTTTTTTTTCTCAATCATCGGTCTTATTTCAAATTACACAGAGAAAAAAATGTTTAAGCTGTTTTAAAATCATATGTAGGTTAATTGTGACAAGATTTTTATATAACAAGAAGCTCCATATTAAACATTAAATCCTTAATTTAAAGTATCAGCTTGCAAATATCTACTTTTTTTAATATCTTAAATCTTATATATAAAGATATGGATAGCAACAGTATTTATTTTTGAATATTTGAATAGTTAACCGTAATGTAACTTGTATTTGTATTAAACTTCTAAAAAATTGGTTATTTCAAATGAAATCCAAGAAGAAAAAGACTTTCGTATATCATGATTTGTATTCCGTCAGTCGTAAACTCTTAGTATGTACTTCAAAAGCTCTTGTAGACTATATATATAGACCTCGCATAAAATACAAGTGATTAGCCAACATCACGAATTTCAACTTTATATCTTACCCTCCTTAATGTTTTATCCAAGTAATCACACTTGGATTAAGATCTTCGTGTTACTTTCTTAGGATCTTTAGATGATTCTCGTTTGTTGAGCCCGATTTCTGAAACAAGAACAAAATGTTAATTTCGATTGTATTACATGTTGCGTTTTATCTTCAACATTGCATGTACGTATGCCTCTTACTCACCATTCGCTATAGCAGCCACATCATCTGCATTCAACGTTTCGTATTGTAATAAGGCTTCCGCTAGTTGTTTGTGCTCCTTCGCGTGAGCTTTCAAAATCGCTTTCGCTCGCTCATATGATTCCTAAGAAGAAGGTGATTAAAAGACAAGTCGATTAATTGTAGCAAAATTAACCGATAAATTCAGTAAAATGCAATTAATAAACATCTGATTTAGAAGAAAGACTATAAGAGAAAAAGAGTATAAATACTCAATATGTTCTCAATTGATTTATATGAAACTAAAACAGAAAGAAGTCCTTCGTGAAAATTATATCTGATTTTTAACGTAGAAACGATAAATTTACCTGCAAAAGCTGTTTCACTTCGTTGTCAATAGTCTCATTCGTACTGGGCGCGTACGTATTTTCATTACTAAACAACTTCTTATTTTCTAATATTGATCTAAATCCAACTTTCTCTGACATTCCGTAATTCTTCACCATAGTTTCCGCGATTTTCGTCGCCTCCTGGAAAAAAATTTGTTCACGTAATTTAAATATTTTTATCAAAACTCTTGTAAAAGATAATACAATAAAACTGAAACTATATTATGAAATAGAATTCAAAGACGAAAAACGTACAGCCAAATCAGAAGAAGCTCCGGTTGTTACTTTCTCTGGTCCGAATATTATCTCTTCTGCTGCTCTACCGCCCATCATCGCGTCCATATTAGCTAGCAACTGGGACTTTGTAACATGATAAACGTCCTTCTCATGCATGTAAGAAGTCTAAGACAGATAAGAATAAAATTCGTAAATTAAAAATCATGAAATTAAGTACAACTTACACAAAAACAACCAAACTCAATTATATAATAGAAAAAGAAATTAAAAATAATTCTATAAGATATATAAGTACAATTGTATATACAAAGCAAATCAATAGTACTAATGTAACAAATAATTATAACTAAATTGTAATTAGCTACATACGTGACCTAATGACGGTCCTCGTGGCACGATAGTAACTTTATGAAGCGGCGTAGCATCTTTTGTGAAAAATGCTACTAGAGCATGTCCTGCTTCGTGATACGCCGTAATACGATTAACTTCTTCGTCGCGCAATTTTAGTTTGCCTTCAGGACCCATTAAAACTTTATCTCTAGCATATTCCAGATGTTTCATAGTTACATATTCCGCCTCATCAATTGCTGCGCGTAACGCAGCTTGATTTATCTATAATATATTCATATACTATATATGACATTTATTATGAACTTTATCAAGACAGCATTATACAAGATAACGTAGTATTTCTTACCATATTTTCAAGATCAGCTCCCGTGAAACCCGTGGTGCATCGTGCTAGATAAACGGTATCAACGTCGTGTGTTAATATCTTGGCCAGATAAAGGTCCAGTATCTCCTTGCGGCCAGAGTAATCAGGTTTGTTGACGTAAATTTCAACGTCAAAGCGACCAGGGCGCATCAGCGCCTTATCAAGATCCTTACGTCTATTCGTGGCACCGAGAACTATGACACCTTCGTTTTGGCGGAAACTTATAAAAGGAAAATTACAAAAAGAAAACTTTTAACTAAATATATTCAAATAACGGTTGTAAATAGTAAATTATCATAAATAACAATTGTAAAATTGATAAAAATATATATATAAACTCTCTTACCCATCCATTTCAGAAAGCAATTGATTGATCGTCTGATTTGCGTAAGGGTGAAGGACGGAATTTGTTCTCTTCGCACCCACGGAGTCAATCTCATCGATGAACACAACACATGGCGTTTTTTCCTTTGCCGCTCCTGTGTACAGAATACGATATTGAGGTGATTCGGGATAACTGCGCGGTCGTAAATTATTTGAAAAGAAAAATCTCGCACGATTTCACGATATTTCATAACTTTGCCAGTAAAGATGATTATACTTGTTACTCACTAAACAAATCTCGAACACGTCGAGCACCTTGACCAACCAGGATCTCATCAAATTCAGGACCTGCCACATGGAAAAACGGTACACCAGCTTCTCCAGCGACTGCGCGCGCCAATAATGTTTTTCCTGTTCCCGGTGGACCGACTAACAATACTCCTTTTGGCAATTTTCCACCTAAGGCGGAAAATTTTCCAGGATTCTTCAAAAATTCCACCACATTCAAGAGCTCTTGTTTCGCTTCGTCCACCTGTAATATTTATTGGCTTGTTTATTATTACTTCCACATGTATTTTTATGTATCATCAACCATATAGGAGATAATTGTTTCACAAATAATCTAGCTAAACAAAAAATGTGTGAAGAGTAACATTTTATTATTTACCCCTTTAACATCGTTAAAAGTAACATGGATGTCTTCGGGGTCGATTTCGATTCTGTGACTCATAGGAAGCTTGAATATCCCACTTCCTGGATAGGAAACTATAATATAAATAATACACATAAATACAAATAATAAAACGATTTATGTGAAGTTTCCAACATAGCATATGCTTTATACAGTAATCTTTATACGTACGATAAATCCAGAGTAAAAAGATAACTGTGGAGAAAATTAATATATTTTGCAAAACTTTCAACCACATTGTTCGACCTCGCATCTGACGCTGCAGTCCGGATTCGTAGCCTTCTACAAAGGCAACTTTTATCCTTTTCTGTTCGTCCACTGTTGCCTCAGTATTGTTGAAGACCTGTTTCAGTTTTTCATAATCCGAATTTTTCGACTCGTGCATCAAATTCTACAACATAAAATCTATTAGCATAAAATTTATCTCAAAGATTTTCTACGATCGCAACATTCCAATAAAATATTGATTCTTATTGTACTTTTACGTGAGTTTACAAATTATTAGAATAAAATATATGTTATACCAGTTGAATATTAGTCAGACCAAGCCACTTCTTTATCCTGCTTATAAATGTCGGATTTTGTTCTAGTTCCATTTTTATGCTACGTTGGGACTTGAAGGTCCGAATTTGCGTATTATTATGTGGTGTTTTGGCATACCACGTATGTAACAGTCTACGTTGCTTTGATGCTAAGTGAGTGACAGATAAGATAATGGGTTTTTGCAATGAATGATTTGGAAAGCCTTGTTTGTTTGCAGTAAAGCTTAGGCCAGATAAATAAGACATTTTCCATTTATTATTTTCTTCCAAAGGTCTTCTAAATAAATTAAGGGCTACATTATCCAGCATTATGCACATCCTATTTCCTTTTATTTTCAACGAAGTTAAAGTAGTTAATGGAACTACTTCTAGCATCTGTGAACAACTCCTTGTTGCCTAAAATTAATTATAAGAGCAGTTTAGATACACTGAAATAAGAATCAATTTGAAATACAGGTTGATGTTATATTTGTAAAAAAAAATTATATATAAAATAATATATTAAAATAATTAATAGTAAAAAATTATTATTTCCTAATATATTTTTTCTTCTTTAGGCTTTTTAATATGTTCAAAAATTCTCAATTCTTAATTTTAAAACAATTCAATACATAATAAATTTTCCACACAAGGCCAACAAACATTGCAGATTGCACTTTAGCTGAAACTCCATTTATACACAAAATATTTCTCTAATCCTCATTATAATTTTTATATTTTATCGAATTAAGAAATATAATTTAGAAAAAAATTTATTTTAGAAATTATACCTCTTCCAGGCTATCTGGACAAATATTATCCATAGTTTTATGTTCATCTTGTTTCTTAACTTGGGTCGAGTATGATGTTCTAGGAGTTATTGCCAATGTCAGCTGTGTTAGATGGTATAACACCTAAAAGTCCAAAGTCAGTTAAGTACTTAAATCATCAAGTTATACGGATGATTTCCTCTCAGTTTAGAGAAAGTAAGAAATAGAGCAAATGTAAAGTGTACATGATGATTAGGAGCTGAAATATTTTTATGCTTTTTCAAGGACAATAAAATATATGCATATTGTTTAAAATATATACGAGATATGAATAACAAAGGTTACTGATGCAATTGCAAGATGTCGTAAGTACAAACCTGATTGTGAGATTGAAGAGTAATCATAATCTCAAGTTTGGTAACTTCGAAGTCGAGATAACTGCGTAATTTAACAGAAATTGCAAACGATCGTAGAAAATAATCACGTGAAACCAACAACGTCCTGTAAAAACGATCGACGGTCTATCGATTGTCTGGATCGTTCTACGTAGGTCTTCAGCCGCAAATTGATCGATCAGGTCTGACAGATTAGTGCGGCTGTAATCAGATTAACTGATCACTTGTCAATTTATCAAAGTATCGGACAATTTTTTAATCCGCAACAGTGAACTGTGTTTTGAACGTGGTGCCAATTAATGGTTAGCCGTCAAAGGTGAAAGATGTTAATCCGACGTAGATTTGTCGACATGGATGCTGTTTCACGCAGGTATCAGCAATGCGATTAAAATGCCATCTTATGCATCGATCGAGGAACTTCGTTAGCGATCTTGCACTCCGCGAACTAGTACAGAAAGTGCAGGTGAACGCTTCTATTAGCTGATGAAACGTCCACTCGGCGCCACTATCTAGAGAAGTGCGGCCAGTTTCCTTCAATCTGTGGTCGTGTGTGTCGTCGTGTGCGATGTTTGTGTAGTAGGTTACGTTGCGCTCTCTCGGGCGAAATGACGTTTTGTCGCTTGTAAATATCGCTCGCGCGCGAACGAGTAACGAGAGCCGTTGCGGCCCCGACCTGTTGGCAATCCCCGAGACATCGCGAATGATCCGCACGTGAGTCCACTACGTAGTCCGTTGTTAATTCAGTCGCGCGCAGCAGCGAAATCGTCGTGTCCCACGCGCCGCGCGACCGAGCGCGCGGTGATTGAGGTTATGACAAGTGAGTCGAGTTGAGGTCGCGACGTGTTGTGTAGCTCTCTCGCGCATCGCGCACCTGATGTTTACCGTCGGACCGTCGTTCTTCCGGCGCAGCGAAGGTAAATCGCAACTGCCAGTCCGTGATCGGCATCGACGTGGCGCTACCTCGCACGCGTCCCAAGACCGCGACGCCGTCGTCGCCACCGCCGCCGCACGTTCCCGTGGGCCTCGCGTACCCTAACCTCTTTCTTCTCGCCCGCTGTCACTCGGTTGCGTTGTTGTCCCTCGTGCTTGTTTTGTCTGCAACCTGCCTGCGACTTATACACAGGTATTTTCGGGTCTTTTTCTCTTTCTCTTTCTTTCGTCATACTTTTGTGTTTCCCTACATTCCCTATGCAAACCGGCGATGCGTGCCGCCGTGTGGATACCATTTGATTGTAGGATCGTGGTGGTTGCGTCTTGCTTGTTTATCACTTCTTCCCGCCGATGTATTTCCCGGAACACGTCGATTGTAGATGAGATACGCAATTAATTAGCCTCATCGAGCACGGCGGAATTCCATTCGGCTTTCCTTTTGTCACAAATGTTCGTATAAGAAGTGTAGGTGATTGCGACGATAGAGATTCAATGATGCGTTAATATAGTATGATTGTGAATCAATTGTTAGTAGTTGTTATTATTTAATTGCCTGTTTGTCTTGAAGATACAATAAATCATTTTGAATGAAATATTTTTCTCGTTGTTTCTTGGCATATTTTAGAATGTGTGGAAAGAAACTGCTTGATGGAAGGGTTGGTGATGTGTGCATCGTATAACAGCACAACAATTATTGGGAAAAATGTGGCATAATATGGTGCAGTTTAATAGAAAACTTAACTTTGACATTTCACATTATTTTTAACACTGTTTTCAATTGTGATGTATAAGAACAGTTTTGAAAGATGTTTGAGTTTGTGGTTTAATTAATACTATAATCAAAATGCTTATTATAAATATTGTAAATGTATATACCATTTTCACAAATTTAGAGTGCAAATGCCTATAAATAGCTTAATCTATATTTCACAAATTTGTGGTAATGAAAAATATTGGTTGCAAAAATAAAATGCAAATAGTTGATATGTTAAGTTGATATATTGAAATTTTGATTTAAACAAAAGTAAAGTTTGGTTGATATATATGAAAGAATCTGTAGGTATATACATATCTCATGTAAAATTATAGATTTGTTTTAGATATATTTATTTAGTCTCTTTTTCTTTTAGGAGTATGTCAGGATATATATTTTCTTTTAAACGTTTTAAACATAGAAGCGTTTTAAACATAGAAAATCTAACTAAAACAAATAGATCTCATTACTAATGAAGCATTTTTATAGATATACATTTGCCTTTCTTGCTAATTTGATGATTTATTGATAATATACAATCGTAATCACATGATTCTCATTAGTTGTAAACATAATATAAAAATTGATATGAATCTATTCTTTTCTCAACATAATTTAATGATTACAAATAGTTATTAAACAATTTAACATTATATGTTGTTATCAACAATATATTGTTTACTCAAATAGATAGTAAATATGAAGGGATATATTTCAGAATATGAACGATTATTACCGCATCAGATATGACATTAATTGGTACCAGTAATCAGAAACTACAATGAGTGGTTTAACCATTTGTTTGGAAGATGCGTACCAGCAGGCTCAGGTGCGTAGAAGAATATTTTTTTATGAGTTGCAACATGATGTCGGTATTACCAGAATTTTATTCTTACGAATATTCATGAAATACCTATCTGTTGTATCATTCACACAGGATATGATTAACCAAGCACCCAGATATTGGCTGAAGAATGTTCAGGGTCAGAATTCATTGGCCTTAACACCCGACAAGTCTCTATCCTCTCAAAAAAAGGAACAGAGTCACTCTAGACATAGTATTCATGCCAAACTTACGAGACTCTATTTTGAAGAGCTTGCTAAGGTTCCTCATGCAACTCCAGATTCAGTTTTGGTAGGTCTATTTTTCAAGAATAATTTTAAGAATAATTTAATGTCATTGAACATTTGTATTTTTTTTTTTTTTTTGAGAAGAAATGTTTGGTCAATATACCATGCATATCTGTGCACAAGAGCTGTTGTTATATTAAAATTTTACTTTAAATGCTATACAGAATAATCTTGAAAATGAGTGCGATCTTTTGGGGCTGTTAGTGCGGAGAGAAGGGTTACACACGTTAATCGTTAATCTCTATGCTGGTAATAAAGGATACTCATTAGCTGTAAGAAATAGGTAAGAATTTATTTGTTTTTAGATATCTTTCTGTTATATTTCTGAAATATTTGTATATGTTAAATAGTACTTAACACTTTAAACCTGGTGTTAATAATGAACTATCGTGACAATTAGTTAAGTTATAATTAAGTTAGCAAAAATTTTGTAATAAGAGCTATATTAAAGATTTAAACTTTTTGTTTAGTGATAACCTATTATTTAATATAAACATTATAATATAAATATCTTTATGTTGAAGAAATATAATATGCTGCTTAGTACTAGATTTGTGAAACATTGAATATTAAACTTGGTTTAAAATGTTTAATATTTATGTTAGAGCACTAGAAATAAGAGATTTGCATTTTATATGTTAATCCATTAATAATCAATTCTATTTTTGGGGTAAAATTTTGTTATAAATGAAGAGATTAATAATACTTTTTCTTCTCGATAGCGATAAGGGGAACCAATACGATAAAAATTCACTAGCAGAGACTCAGCTCATGGGTTACGAACAGGGTGAACTGCTTTCATGCATAGATAATGGCCAGTTGCCAGCTATGTTAGCAGAACAACTGGAATCCAATCATTCACATTTATTTTATGACGGCTGCATAGTAGCCGAAGTCCGAGATTATCGAAAGGCGTGTTCTTATAATAAAGCTGATGTTCATCATAAAGCTGAGGTATATCATAACAGAGCTGAAATTCATCATGTACTTCTTAAACCAACAACACAGGTGAGATTCCGTGAGATTTTAGTGGGAGAAATAAAAGTAAGAATCTCTCTCGTGAAATGTACTTGTTAAATAAATTTGAACACAAAGACACTGTTGTATCGATATATTTTTTCATTCAGTGACAATTTTTCAATTTCTGTTTTAGGAAAATTAGTTTAATAATTTCATGTAAAATTCATTTGAAATAGATGAAGATATATTTTTTATATTGACTTCAAAGTTTTATATAATACTTATATGTATCTTATTTATAGTTACCTTTATCTTATTTATAGTTTATTCTGCAACATTGTGTTATTATTTATTGTGTTTTTTTAAGAATCAATCTTTGTTTACATATACATTATTTAATATGAGTGATTTAAGTTAAATATTGAAAATTATCAATTATGCAGAGTATACTTTCGGACGTGTCAACACTTACAAGTGATGGAGATTGGAGCCATGAGGAACGATTAATACTGGAGTCACATCTGCTGGCAGCTACCCAAGGACCTCTATGTTTGGATCCAAATCCTATTCCTACCTTAGCTAGTACAAGAGTTAAACAGTCTAAATCATTGTTTACAGATCCTCAACTTATACGACAAGCCAAAAAGTTTTCTCAGGTAAAACTTTTAATTCAAGACACTTACTTCATTAAAATTAGACTTAATTATTTATATATTTCATTAATGCTGTCTATAGTATTTCAGAAACGATCGCAATAAAATGAAAAGTCTAGCTGCAAGCAATATTTTAAATAATATAAATATTCTATATATATATATAATTTTCTCTCAAAATAACTACTGTTTTTTCTTGAAAAAAGGTATATATCTTTGTTTGTTGCTAGGCTTTCGGTCGCAGCAATTTCAGAAATTTCATTTCGTCAATATGTATACATTGTTGCACTGCTTGCTATGCGTCACGTCTAATTTGCGCAACAACGATAATAAATATCATAAGGAACTCTTTGCTGTTTGATATCAGGTTACGGTGAATCGAAAAAGAAAATTGGAGCAGATGATACAATCAGAAGGACCGACGATACAGGACTTCATGCAGAAAATACGTGCGAAAAGAGGAATGACAAGCACTGCCTGTGTAGCGCCTTCTATTACAAACCCTCCTCTGCTTCCACCGAATACACCAGTCGATGTTTTAAGGTTTTTACCAGAACATATTTTGTATCTTGTAAACTATC